ATATGAGTTTGTTTGCTTATGGCTCCTAGTAATCTCTGATGCTCTGCCTAAACACTCAAACTATTATTTTAATAATCTCTTTTAGTCTTTGCCAGATTTCATGTCAGACCACTCTGGTCAAGGTATGGAGACTATACTTGCCTCATTTAAAAAATTACTACTACTACAGAAAAGACAGGAGATGTTCTTCTGTCTCTGCCTCATATTAAGTAGTAATATACTACTTACATCAAAGAGCAGACCTGTGCCTCTCTTAGCTTTTTAAAAATATATATATTTATTAAATTTTTTTTACAGAGAGGAAGGGAAAGGATTAGAGAGTTAGAAACATCGATGAGAGAGAAACATAGATTCAGCTGCCTCCTGCACACTCCTCACTGGGGATGTGCCCGCAACCAAGGTACATGCCCTTGACCGGAATCAAACCTGGGACCCTTCAGTCTGTAGGACGACACTCTATCCACTGAGCCAAACCGGTTAGGGCTCTCTTAACCATTTTTGCAAGTCTTAGCACACTTGTGGGTTTCAGCCCAAGCTTGCTTCTTATTTATGTCAGTACCACTAAAAAAAAAAAAGTTTCTTTCCTTTGTATCTATTTTTATTGTGCACCTCCTTCTAATTCTGAATTGAGTGCTGAGCTTTTTGTCTAGTCTTTCTAGACAACTCCGATCCTCTTCCCCCACCATCTCAGATAATGTGAAATGGGCAGAATTTCATTTTTGAGAACTCAATCTTCTTGTGTTCCATTTTAGTACCTCACATCCATGGGCTTGGGTCCTGTCTTCACTGTTTGAAGCCTATTCTTTAAAAAACTAGAAATGACATCCGCTGTATTTATTCCCTGTCCTTCCTGTCTGTTTGGCTGCGTTGCTCTCTTTTGAGGCTCCCACCACTTCTTTTTTTCTGATCAGTTTCTTTTCCTTGGTCAAATTAGGTTCAGAATATAATTCTACTTATTTCTTATCTTCTGGGTGGTAGAATAATTAGCAAGCCAATTTTAAAAATTATATGTGCTGCTTTTTAGTTTAATGAGATTTTTTATTAGATGTTCAGCTAGCAGAAATCTTTTATCATTTTGTGACAGCATGCTCTTAGCCAAGAAAGTAAGATAATTTCACCATTACTCAGTAGTCAGGCCATCTCACTGGCTTCATATTAAAACTTGAAGGGCCATCTCTCTTTTTCCACAAATCCAAGGAAATCAGTTATTTTCTCTCCTCTTTAAAGATGTTACGACCAGTTTTTTGTTTCTTTTTTAAATGTCTTGTCCAGCATTTATTGGTGTTCTTTTTAACAATATTTTTTTTTAATTAATTCTTGGGAAAGAAAGAAACATTGATTTGTTATCCCACTTATTTATGCATTCATTGGTTGATTCTTGTATGTGCCCTGATCAGGGATCAAACTAACAATGTTGGCATATCCACACAATGCTCTAACCAACTCAGCTCCTAGCCAGGGCCTTTATGACCAGTTATTTATGGATTTTTTTTTTTTTAAGCTGACCTCAGAATAGAATGTAGTATCTTCAATTCTTGCCCTTTTATACTATAACTAATATAGAGATACTAGGGGCCCAGTGCACAAATTCGTGCACCTTGAAAGGAACTATGTGGCAGCGCCAGCAGTGGGTGTGAGTCCGGGAGGCACCACGGCATGTGGGAGCAAAGAATTTTCAGTAACCACCAGAGGCTCACCCTGACGATAGCAACCAGCACCCTGCCTTGGTCTGGTGCCCCTGCTCACCTGCTCCACCATCCTGCTGCAGCCGATGCCCACCATGGTCAGCGCACACCCCCTGGTGGTTAGCGCATGTCATAGCAACTGGTCGTTCTGCCATTTGGTCTGTTTACATATTAGCCTTTTATTATATAGGATTGGCATGTTTTCAGATATTTTCATCATAGTGAAATGAAGGTTATAAAATAGAGAGTTAGGAGCTCATGATATCTTACTGTCCCAGGTAGTTTCTAATTTCTTTAAATGTTATGGACACTTGTCTGTTTGCCTCTCTTACTCAAGATAGAGCTCGTCCAACCTCTCCCTTTCTGTGCAGTAGGATGTTTTTAGAAGAGAGCATTCCACAGCTGGTAGGCCTGAGGGAGAACATTAAACCATAGTTGTGAATTAGTAGAGACTGCTCAGAAAAGGGTAATTTATATCAGAAGCAATTTATATTCTTCAGGGAATCCAAGTTAATACAGGGAAGATCACTCTTAATAATGCTTTCTGCTATGCCTCTACTCCCAGGTATGGATTTCCACTTGTCGATGCATATCTTAAAAATATACAGTACTTAGTCCTTGTTGGTGTGGCTCAGTTGGTTGAATGTTGTCCTATACACCAAAAGGTGGGGAGTTCATTTGATTCCTGGTCAGGGTACATACCCAGGTTGTGGGTTTATTGCATGATCAATGCTTCCCTCTCACAGATATTTTTCTCTCACTCTTTATCTCCATCCCTCCCATCCCCTCTCCTTTCTTCTCACTAAAAATTAATTTTTTAAAAATTAAAAATATATATATTCAAGTTATCTTTTTAACGGTAATATTTCTGTATCCTTATCCTTGATTAGAGGTACTATGAAATATTGAGAATTTCAAAATGATTACAGTGTATTAGGGCTGAGTATTTGAGACAATGCAAATAAACAGAAATATAAATCATACCAACAAATATCTATCTATCTATATAAAAGGCTAATATGCAAACTTTCCCCTCAGGAGTTCGAACATGAGACTGGGAGTTCCATCAATCACTTGCTATGACATGCACTGACCACCAGAATGAAGGAAGGCCCCCATCAGCCCTGATCATCAGCCAGGCCTAGGGATGATCATAAATTTTGAGCATCAGGCCTCTATTTTACTAATAAGCACATAAAAAAAAATTTATTTCTTCAAATTGCATATGTCTCACTGAATTAATTAAATACACGAAGGAATCAGAGAATATAATAAAGTGCCAAATTATACATTGGTAGCAACTACTTAGAGCACATGTGTCAAACACAAGGCCCGCGGGCCAAATCCGTCCCGCCAGGCCTTGCAATGTGGCCCGCACCGCGCTGTCATCACTGCACTCCGCTGCGTTTCCATCACAATGACAGTTTATGACTGTTCAGTAAACCATTCGGCCCGCGATTTAGGCTGGATTTTAGATTTTGGCCCCTTCTCTGATTGAGTTCGACACCCCTAACTTAGAGTCTACCAGAGTGGGTTTTCCTAATCTGTACTCAACTTACCTCTGAGAAAGAGGAGACTTCTGTGTATTTCCAAAATTGTAATGGTTGAATTTGTTATTGTTGTGGTGTAAGCAGGGACCTAGAACTGTAGTTACTGGTGACGTTTAGCCTCCACTATGGGAATGTGGAATGGATGATGCTTTTGTTCCCACAGCAGAGTAAAAGGAATTCAGTGTGCCAAGAACATGAGTAACTCAGATATATTTGAGGTTTTTAGATCTTAAATCCTCTCAAGAAAATAGTTTTATGTATTGAGTTTGGCTGTACTAATTTGGGTTAATCTTAAGGGTAACTTTAGAATAAATTTTAAAATTCCAGCTTCAAATGATAAGTCTCTGCTTAGTCATGAGGGGTTAGGTGTAATGCCACATTATATTGAGAAGTCTAGGAGCTGTTGCCATACGTATATTAACCTTGCTAGGCACTGACATTTGAGAAGGAAGAAAAACGCTCTACATTCCTAAACACTGAGCTGTTGCTGTGTTGCAAGATCTTATTTTCCTTAATTCCTAGTAATCTTCACTAACCCTTCCTTTCAAGGAATCATCAAATGTGATCTACTTAAGGATGTATAGCACCTTGACCCGGGATTTCAGTTGGTTAGCTCAGTTGGTTAGAGCATTGTCCTGAAACCCCAAGGTTGTGAGTTTGATTCCTGGTCAGGGCACATGCAAGAATCAGCCAAAGGATGCATAAATAAGTGGAGCAACAAATCTCTCTGTCTCTTTCTCTCTCCATCTCCCACTCCCCCTCCCCCTCCATCACCTCAAATCAATAATTTAAAAAAAAAAATGTATGGCAACAAACTCTCCCAAAGTCTAACAGCTTTAATATATATATATATATATATATATATATATATATATATATATATATATATATATATGTTATTGATTCTTACAGAGAGGAAGGAAGAGGGTTAGAAAGTTAGAAACATCGGTGAGAGAGAGACATCAGCTGCCTCCTGCACACCTCCCACTGGGCATGTGCCCACAACCAAGGTACATGCCCTTGCCCGGAATTGAACCCGGGACCTTTCAGTCTGCAGGCCGACGCTCTATCCACTGAGCCAAACCAGTTTCGGCAAGACTAACATATTTTATTGCTCTGTAATATAATAAAAGGAATATGTGCATGTCCGTGTCCCTCCCCCCTCCTCCTGCTCTCCCTTTCTGTAACTATCTAATAACTGAGAGTGCTACTAAGTGACCAACAGGTGAGTAGCGTATACCAAGTATATGCTGGACAAAGGGATGGTTCATGTCCTGGTGGGACAGAGCAGGATAGTGTGAGATTTCATCACACTTCTCAGAATGTTTTGCAACTTAAAATTTAGAAATTGGTATTTCTGAAATTTACCATTTAGTATTTTCAGGCTGCATGTAACAGAATCTGGATAAAGGGGGACTGCACAATAAAGACACTGAAGTGCATTTCAGAGAACAAATATATTACTGAACGTTCTAAATTGTGATTTTAGAACTCTACATACGATTTCCACCCTTTTAGAAACACCTCTGTTCCCTAGAAACACGGTCTTTGGGCATTCAGGTGGTTTTAACAGTCATTGCTCACCTTGTGGTCAGGGGGATATCACAGCTGGTAATCTGAACTGAATAGTTGGGAAGAAACTCCAGAAAAGTGAGTAATATTTATGGTTTGCCATAGCAACTTGCAGTTAAATTGCTTCCACAATAAATCTGCTCTTGCACCTTTGTCAGATGTTAACAAAAGTCATTTATTTGTTTTATTTCAGTGATGTCCTTGCCTTGCCCATTTTTAAGCAAGAAGAGTCAAGTTTGCCTGCTGATAATGAGAATAAAATCCTACCTTTTCAGTATGTGCTTTGTGCTGCCACCTCTCCAGCAGTGAAACTCCACGACGAAACCCTGACATATCTCAATCAAGGTGAGATGCGTCCTTGTTCGTTAGTATTACTGCAGACATGCTGAATTCATGATATTAATTAGGTACACATTAAGTGAAAAGTGCACCTTTCGGCTCAGCTGGTGTTGCTCAGTGGTTGAGCGTCGACCCATGAACCAGGAGGAACCAGGAGGTTAAGGTTCGGTTCCCTGTCAGGCTACATGCCTGGAGTTTTAGGCTCAATTCCAAGTGGGGGTTGAGAGGAGGCTAATTGGTATTTGTATCTCTCTCTGCCTCTCCCTTCATCTCTCTGAAATCAATATAAACTTTTTTTTTTTAAGTGCATCTTTCGAGTGTGGACTGTCAAAATCCAAGGCTACCGAAGCCGGTTTGGCTCAGTGGTAGAGCGTCGGTCTGTGGACTGAAAGGTCCCAGGTTCGATTCCGGGCAAGGGCATGTACATTGGTTGCTGGCACATCCCCGGTAGGGGGTGTGCAAGAGGCAGCTGGTCGATGTTTCTCTCTCATTGACGTTTCTAGCTCTCTATCTCTCTCCCTTCCTCTCTGTAAAAAATCAATAAAATATATATTTTTTAAAAAATCCAAGGCTTACTTTAGATATTTGAGTTTTAATAACATGAGATATATATTAATAGCTTCTTTTATCTGCATGCCCATTTTTAGTTTCCATCTTCCTCTTTTTTCTAATCTATGTTCTCTGAACATCCTTACTGGTTACTATTTGAGAAGAATTACCCCACTCAGCATTATTGTTTATCAGTTGTATGGCCTTGGACAAGTTGCATAAACAATTTTTTTTCTTTATTGACTCAAGTATTACATATGTGCCCTTATCCACTCCCAACCCCCCCAGCCTCGCTCATTCCCTCATCCCGCTAGTGTCTGTGTCCATTGGTTAGCCTTATATGTATGCATACAAGTCCTTTGGTTGATCTCTCCCCTTTCCCCCTATTCTCCCTCACCTTCCCTCTGAGGTTTTACAGTCTGGTCTGTATGTCTGTTCTTATGCCAATATCAGACAGTTTTGAGAACAGTGGCTTTGTAATATAGCTGGATATCTGGTATTGAGATCCCTCCTACTTTGTTCTTTCTCAGGATTGCTGCAGCTATTCTGGGTCTTTTTTTTTTTTTTTTAATATATTTTATTGATATTTTACAGAGAGGAAGGGAGAGAGATAGAGAGTTAGAAACGTCGATGAGAGAGAAACATTGACCAGCTGCCTCTTGCACACCCCCTATCAGGGATGTGCCCACAACCAAGGTACATGCCCTACCAGGGGTCCTCAAACTTTTTAAAGTGGGGGCCAGATCACGGTCCCTCAGAGAGCTGGAGGGCCGGACTATATGAACTACTAATTCCTACTGTAACACCTTGGCTGCGCTCACTGCCCAAAAAACCTGGCGGGCTGGATCAGACTCCTCTGCAGGCCGCATGTGGCCCGTGGGCTGTAGTTTGAAGACGCCTGCGCCTAGACTGAAGTCGAACCCAGGACCTTTCAGTCTGCAGATCGATGCTCTACCACTGAGCCAAACTGGTTTCGGCTATTCTGGGTCTTTTTTTATTCCAGATGAATTTTTAGAGAGGTGAGGAGAAGAGAGGGGAGGGAATGGGTACCATTGGTATTTTAATGGGGAGTGCATTGAATCTATAGATTGCTTTGGGTAGTATGGACATTTTAATGATGTTGATTTTACCAATCCATGAACACAATATATTCTTCCATCTGTTTATGTCTTCCTCTATCTCTTTTTTTTCAGTGTCCTGTAGTTTTCTGAGTACAGGTCTTTTACCTCCTTAGTTAAGTTTATTCCTATGTATCTTAATTTTTTTGGTGCAATGGTAAATGTGATTGTTTTTTAAATTTCTCTTTCTGTAAGTTCACTATTGGTGTGTAAAAATGTATTAGATTTCTGGGCATTAATTTTGTATCCTGCTACATTGCCAAATTCATTTATTAAGTCTAATAATTTTTGATGGAGTCTTTAGGGTTTTCTATGTATTGTACAATATCATGTCATATGCGAATAATGACAGTTTTACTTTTTTCCTACTGGATACCTTTTATTTCTTCTTCTTGTCTAATTGTTATGGCTAGCACTTGTAGTACTATGTCAAACAGGAGTGGTAAAAGTGGACATCCCTGTCTCGTTCCTGTTCTTAGGTGAAATGGTTTTAGTTTTTGCCCTTTGAGTATGATGTTGGCTGTAGGTTTGTCATATAAGGCTTTATTATGTTGAGGCATGCTTCTTCTATTCCCATTTTGCTGAGGGTTTTATCAAGAAAGGATGTTGGATTTTGTCAAATGCTTTTCTGCATCAATTGATATGACTATTTGCATAAATTCTATGTTTTAGTTTCCTTATCTGTAAAAATGGGATTGATAATAACTTAGAGAGAGTTGTGTAAATTAAATGATACAATGTATGAAAACATTTAGCACTGTGCCTATCCTATCCTATCTAATAAAAGTAATATGCAAATTGACCATCATTCCAACACACAAGATGGCTGCCCCCATGTGGTCAAAGATGGTTGCCTCCATGTGGACACAGATGGCCACCACAAGATGGCCAGCAGGGAGGGCAGTTGGGAGGGACCAGGCCTGCAAGGGAGGGCAGTTGGGAGGGACCAGGCCTGCAAGGGAGGGCAGTTGGGAGTGATCAAGCCTGCAGGGGAGGGCAGTTAGGGGTGACCAGGCTGACAGAGGAGAGAAGTTGGGGGTGACCAGGCCTGCAGGGGAGGGCAATTAGGGGCAATCAGGTTGACGGGAGTAGTTTGGCATCAATCAGTCTGTCAGGGGAGTGGTTAGGGGGTGATCACCCTGGCCGGCAGAAGCAGTTAGGAGCAATCAGGAAAGCAAGCATGCAAGAAGTTGGGAGCCAGCAGTCCTGGATTGTGAGAGGGATGTCCGGCTGCCCGTTTAGGCCCGATTCTACCTGGCAGTCGGACATCCCTTGAGGGATCCCAGATTGGAGAGGGTGCAGGCTGGGCTGAGGGACACATACACTCCCAGCCCTGTGCACGAATTTCATGCACCAGGCCTCTAGTAGTAAAGAATTGTATCATTGCTGACATGTACACATAAGGAACTGTTTAACATTGAAATTGGAACTTAAGAGAACTGTCGGCCCAAGATGAAACTCACTGCAGACTGATTCATTTGCCTCCCAGCATGACCAATGTTGCTTGTCTCATTTTCGGTTCTTATAAGTGTATTTCTAGTAGCACATGATCTCACTCATCTAGGGGAAATAATGAACAACATAAACTGATGAACAAAAACAGACCTAGAGACAGGGAAGCATCGATCAGACTGTCAGACCTCAGAGGGAAGGTAGGGGAGAGTGGGGGAAGGGGGGAGAGATCAACCAAAGGACTTGTGCGCATATACATAAGCGTAACCAGTGGTCACGGACGACAGGGGGGTGGGGGCATACATAGGGAAGGGTTTGGGATGGGAATGGGGGGGATAAGGACAAATATGTGATACCTTAATCAATAAAGAAATTTTTAAAAAAAGAAAAAAAAAGAATTGTAGTTGTTGTTACTAATACTAATAATATATTCTTATATGTTCAAGCAACTGAATTTTATTCCTTTTTTTTTTTTTTTTTTTTTTTTTTGTCTCTAAGGCAATTTATGAAAGTTCCTGCATTTAATAACTACCTATCATACATCCATAAACAAGATATTTGGGGGGATACAAACTTTCATATGGTTCTGTCTATACTCTCTCAAGATAGACAGGTTGTTACTAAGTTTTACTCTATCCTTAAGTGATTGGAAACCCTTCTTTTTCTATAGTGTGTCTGGCACTTCTAGATGATGCTGGCAATAATGCGACAATGATGATGACAGCTTACATTCGTAGATTCATTAAGTGCCAGGCCCTGTTTTACATGCTTCATATGTATTAAGGCATTTAATCCTATCAATAGCCCTGTGAGAAGAATTACTAAATGTTCTTGTTTTGAGGCTGAGGCAACTGAGGCAAAGATTAAGAAATTTGAAAAGGGGACACAATGGAAGAACCAGGTCTTTAAACCCAGGAAATAGCATGGCTTCCAGCTACATTAAACTGAGGAAAGGGACCAGGGCTTATGTATGTTTCTATCCCACACAGAACCTAACATTACTTTCAAAGCTCCAAAAATGTTGCTAAAAATGCCCTTTTCTAGAAGTGGGGGTGTGGAGAAAGAGGAATCTTGAATCGTTCAGTAATCCCAAACATGATCTGTCTGAGAGAGGAATATTCCGGGGATATTGAAGGGCGGTAGTGCATACATTTGTGTGTGGGCCATATTCTAGCCGCTTCAAGGCTAGAGCTTATTCTAGATCCTTGGATCTGACTTTGGGCCCCTCAGTTTACCTGCAGGCAAATGGTTGGGGGAGGGGGAAGCACACCACAGCCTATGGTGTCATGGGAGTAAGGGGTTTCTCATCTCAGTCCTCTTACACACACAGGCTCCAGCTCCCTCTTGGGTGCCCAGGTCCACCGAGCACCCATCAAGCACCCACTTCTTCCCTGAGCCTCCTGCCTGAGTCTGGACGCCTGGATGTTTCTGACAGTTTTCCCCATCCCCAGGACTCACGTCCTTCAGCCCATCCAACGAAGTGTGGTGGCCCCATACAGTAGACTCTTCAGAGAACACTGCTCTCCTAAAACTCAACTCGCTGCTGCCACCGTGAACCAGAGGGAAACTCGCCCCTCAACTGAGTTTGTTCTGTCTGAATTTTGCAAAGTTAATTACGATGACTGTAATACGTAGTTACTTTTTCTCCCAGGACAGTCTTATGAAATCCGCATGCTAGACAACAGGAAACTTGGAGAACTTCCAGAAATTAACGGCAAGTTGGTGAAGGTAAAAGAAAATGAAAAACATTCTTTTTATTGACTCTTTGTAATATTATTTTGCTTCCATAAAAGGCTTGCTGATATCTTACCTGCTACAGTTTGCTGGCAGAATGTGGGATCCAAGTGAGCCCCTCTATTCACATGGGTTTTTCAGAGCTGCAGGAGCAGAAGGCTTACTACTCTATGTCAGGAGAGTTTCGTGATAAGTAACATCCTAGGGAGGAGTTCCCCTGTCTCTTTGGATACTTTGTCTTTTTCCAAGGAAAACAGAAGCTAGTTGACGAATAGCGGTTTTCTTTGTCTAGACCACATGTGTCAAACACAAGGCCCGCGGGCCAAATCCGTCCCGCCAGGCCTTGCAATGTGGCCCGCACCGCGCTGTCATCACTGCACTCCGCTGCGTTTCCATCACAATGACAGTTTATGACTGTTCAGTAAACCATTCGGCCCGCGATTTAGGCTGGATTTTAGATTTTGGCCCCTTCTCTGATTGAGTTCGACACCCCTAGTCTAGACGGATGGTAATGAATTCACAGTACAGTTGGGACAGAGGAGTTTGGGCAGCAGCTGTGAAAGATGATAAGAAAGATATTAATAGGCACCTCCGAAAAGTAAGAGTAATAAAAGTAAAGTGGATGGAAATAGCTGCTACCTGCTCTGTGATTACAGTCTATATGGCGGGTTAGCAAGCAAGGGCCTTGGTGTTTTTTTTTTTGTTGTTTTTTTGTTTTTTAATCAATCTTTATTGTTCATATTATTACAAAGGTTCCTCATTTCTTCCCCCCTCCACCAGGTTCCCACCCCACCCTCCGCCCCCTTCCCCTCCCCCATTGTCCTCATCCATAGGTGCACAGTTTATGTTCAGTCTCTTCCTCCCTCCCTTTCCCCGATAGTAAATCCCTTTTCAGATAGTAAATCAATTACTTAGCATTTTCTCATATCAATAATACCTCCACATGCCCAAAGATACACTTCACACAAAAGACATTTCCAAATAGGTCAACCAGCCTCATCCAGGCCCCACCCAAGGCACTCACAGATCAACACCCCAGCGCTATACTAACTCAACATATCCAGATCTAAGCCTTCATCACTTGATTCGGCAGACCCTCAAGTTCCCGCAGAAGTTTCCAGCCATGTCTGAGAGGCAGCCTTGGGGCGGGGGCAGGCGAGGAGCAAGCTGTTCCGGGCCTGGCCGCTCCCAGCCTGGCAGCTGCTGCTCCAGGCCTGGCCGTACCCGACCCGGCAGCTCTGGGCCTGGCCGCTCCCAGCCTGGCAGCCGCTGCTCCGGGCCTGGTCGCACCCGACCTGGCTGCTTCGGGCCTGGCTGCTCCCAGCCTGGCAGCCGCTGCTCCGGGCCTGGCCACACCCGCTTGGTGCGTTTTTTATATACATCTGAAGTGCCAAGCCGAATATTACATGATTGCAGTAAGGGCATGTAGAAATGCTACTGATATGAGTCCTTTATGCTTAGTTACTATCAGAACTGATTATGGCACTGGTTCATTGTAAAGATTATATCTGAGCAATTATAAAGTTTACCTTGAATTAGAGCTTGGTATGGTGTGGGTCTTAGAGTGAAATAAGTCTTAAGAAAAACAATTTTAGCTTGTATCTAAAAACCAACTGGGGGTGACTGACTTCTGCAATGTTTTGTTTGTCAGCATTATTTTAAAGGAATCCCATTATCATTTGATTTTGTTGCTTCCTTTTAGAGTATATTCCGTGTAGTGTTCCATGACAGACGGTTACAATACACTGAACACCAGCAGCTGGAGGGCTGGAGGTGGAACCGACCTGGAGATAGGATTCTTGACATTGGTGAGTTAAGAGAATCTGTTCCCAGGAAACACCTGTAATCTATGGCCTGAGAATTGGTGTTCTTGAGTTTACTTTGATTCAAAATGCTTCAGGGGCTCAATTAGCATGTACTTGGAAGTGGTTATTAAGTATAAAAACTTATTAGTATGATGATACCAAAATTTAGAAAGTGGAGACACTTCAGTTCCAGAACAATCATTCATTACTTCAGGGTGGTTTTTTGTTGTTTTCATTTCTTTTTAATTTAGTTGTGGTAAAATATACATAACATAAAATTTTAATTATTTTTAATACATAAAATTATCCAGTATTTATCTTTTTGTGATTTGCTTATTACACTTAGCATAATCATCAAGGTTACTTTATGTAGTAGGATGTTTCAGAATTTCCTTCCTTTTTATGATTGCACTTGAGGCCCAGTGCACTAAATTCATGCAAGAATAGGCTTCCTTCCCACAGCTGCGACACTAACTGCCCTCTGTCCGCTGGCAGGCACCCGGGACCCAGGCTTTCCTTGCAGGGCTTTGTCCAGAAGGTCATCAGGCCTAATTAGCATATTACACTTTTATTGCTATAGATAATTTTTCATTGTATATAGATAGCACATTTTGTTTATTCATTCACCCCTCAGTGGATGCTTGGGTTGATTCTACCTTTTGCCTATTGTGAATGAATAATGCTTCTGTGAACCTGGGTGTGCAAATACTTATTTCATTCTCTGCTTTCAGTTCTTTTGGGTGTATACTCAGAAGTGGAATTGCTATATTATATGATAATTCCATTTAAAAGTTTTTGAGTAACCACCCTACGGTTTTCCACAGAGGCTAAATACATGTTACATTCCTATCATAATTACACAAGGTTCTAATTATCTCCTTACCTACACTTCTATTTTTTAATATTAGCTATTCCAATAGATATGAAGTGGTATCTTATTGTGATTTTGATTTATATTTCTCTAATGATTAGTGGTGTTTTCATGTACATTTGTATATCTTTGGAGAAATGTGTATTCAAATCCTTTGCCCATTTAAAAAAAATTTTCTTTATTTTCTAAAGTTTTACATATGTCACCTTTTCCCCCAATTGACACCCCCCACCCCACCCCTTCAACACCACTAGCCATTCCCACCCTGGACACCTTTGCCCATTTTTGAGTCTGGTGGTTTTGTTGTGGAGTTGTAGGAGTTCTGTATATATTCTGAATGTTAAACCCACATCAGATATATGAGTTACAATATTTTCTCCCATTCTGTGTAGGTTGTCTTTTCACTGTTGATAGTGTCCTTTGATGGACAAAAGTTTTAAATTTTAATATAGTCCACTATATCTTGTGTGTGTGTGTGTGTGTGTGTGTGTGTTTCTGTGCTTTTGGTGTTATATCTAAGAAATCATTGGAAAATCCAGTATCATGAAATTTTTCTAAGAGTTTTAGGTTTAGGTGTAGATATTTCTTTTTAAGGAAGGAAATTCTTGTTTTTAAGAGAGAAAAAGAAACATCAACTATTGTTTTATTTATTTATACTTCATTGATTGCTTTCCTGTATGTGTCCTGACTAGAGATTGAACTCTCAACTTGGGTATTTCGGGATGATGCTCCAACCAACTGCCCTACCCTGACAGGGCAGTGTAGATCGATTTTAAAAAAAAATATATTTTATTGATTTTGTACAGAGAGTAAGGGAGAGAGATAGAGTTAGAAACATCGATGAGAGGGAGTCATCGACCAGCTGCCTCCTGCACACCCCTACTGGGGATATGCCCGCAACCAAGGTACATGCCCTTGACCGGAATCGAACCCGGGACCCTACAGTCCCCAAGCCAATGCTCTATCCATTGAGCCAAACTGGTCTCGGCTGTAGATTGATTTTTTAAGTTAATTTTCGTATATGGTATAAAGTAAGAGACCACTTTCATTCCTTACATGTGGATTTCCAGTTTTTCCAACGCCATTTGTTGATATCCTTTACCATTGAATGGCCTTATCACCCTTGTCTAAAATCATTTTGCCATATATATGAAGGTTTGTTTCTGAACTCTCTGTTCTGTCCCATTTGTCCATATATTCAGCTTTATGCCTATATCACACCAGTTGTTTTTTGTTATGTTTTGTTTTGTTTTATTATATTTTATTGATTTTTTACGGAGAGGAAAGGAGATAGGTAGAGAGATAGAAACGTCGATGAAAGAGAAACATCGACCAGCTGTCTCTTGCACACCCCCTACCGGGGATGTGCCCGCAACCAAGGTACATACCCTTGACCAGAATCGAACGTGGGACCCCTCAGTCTGCAGACCGATGCTCTACCACTGAGCCAAACCGGCTTTGGCCACACCAGTTTTTTGTTTGTTTGTTTGTTTAATCCTCACCCAAGGATACTTTTCCCACTGATTTTTAGAGAATATAAGAAAGGCGGAGAGACATAGAGAGAGGGAAACATTAATGTGAAGAGACACATCTCTTGGTTGCCTCTTGTATGCACCCCAACCAGGACTGGGATGGAGCCCGCAATCTAAGAATGTGCCCTTGACCAGAATCAAACCCAGGACTCTTTCATCTGCTGCAGTGCTCTCTCCACTGAGTCAAACTGTCTAGGGCTCACACCATTTTTAATAATTGTAACTTCATAGTAAGTCTTTTTTTTTTTTCCTTTAATTTTTATAGGGATAGAGGAAAGGAGAGAGAAACATTGATTTGTTGTTCCATTTATTTATGCATTTATTGGTTGATTCCTGTATGTGCCCTGACCGGGGATCAAACCTGCAGTCTTTGTGTATTGGGACGAAGCTCTAACCAACTGAGCTACCCGGCCAGAGCATGTAGGAAGTTTTGAAATAAAAAAGTATGAGACCTCCAATTTTGTTACTTTTCAAGATTGTCTTGGCTATTTCAGGTCTGATATTTTGTTTTGAGTAGTGTATAAAAGGGCCCTAGCTGGTTTGGCTCAGTGGATAGAGCGTCAGCCTGCGGACTGAAGGGTCCCAGGTTCGAATTCAGCCAAGGGCACGTGCCTGGGTTGCGGGCTCCATCCCCGGTGAGGGGTATGCAGGAGGCAGCCAGTCAATGATTCTCTGTCATCATTGATGTTTCTATCTCTCTCTCCCTCTCCCTTCCTCTCTAAAATCAATAAAATATATATATTAAAAAAAAGGGGGTAGGCAGGTTTTGGCTCTAAATTCCTCTAAGTTCTTTTATTTTACTAATACCTGAGAGCTAGATTAGTACTTTGTCTTACCTTAATTAAGAGGCCTAGGATTAGAATATATGTCTCTTGGCTTGCAGTTCAAGTTTTTCTACAGAGTAGAATTTGTTTTTCTTAAACCATGGCACAAAAGGGAAAGATCTTTACAAATATGCACAGGCTCTCTTCACAAACGTACTTTGAATCCCAGCATCTGTGTCTTTGATCTCTTATTAGTTACTATCTCCTATTGGTAAATAGTTAAATCTGAGTACTGCTATGTTTGCCTGAGAAAGCACTGGTTCTCGTACAGATATCCTATAATGAAATTGGCTGTAGAATGAATCCAACACAACCAACACTATGGAGTGGGATCCACTTAACGCTTTCTTGTTTAAATCATTGATACTAAAACAGTATAGTTAGAGCACAGTTATAATAATGTCGGCTTGGCCTTATCTCTTAGTTTGAATAATAACAGAAGTCAGGGAATGGTATTTGAGTTTGTGCTATATGGAATGGAATGCAAAGTTCTACTAAAGCCCATTCATTTTTGCTTTTCTCTTGAGTATAAGATGTGTCACTCTGCTATAGGATTATTTGATGACTTTCCCACTTCTATCTGTGATACAGTACTTTACGCCTTTATTCAGGCATTCTCCTTTATCCTTCTATAGCAATACTCTTAGTGTACTTCTAGCAGTAACACTAATCTAAAAACTAAGTGAAGCAGATTATGTTACAATTTTCATGACACTAGAGCTAGTGTGTAAACTAAATTTATTTTTAAGTAGAATTAAACTTTTAAAGAAGCAGAGTGTTTAGATTAACGTTAGCTCTATTCAGACCTCTTTCACTGGCAAAAAGAGGTTTACATAAAAATCTTGGTAACTAAAGGCCAACAATACCTGTATAAGAATCAGTGCTTTCTTACTTAAACCCAGTAGCACTCAGAATTGTTCAATGAATACCATTTGTTTCTCAGATGTCCCGATGTCCGTGGGTATAATCGATCCCAGGGCTAATCCAAACCAACTGAACACCGTGGAGTTCCTGTGGGACCCTGCAAAGAGGACGTCTGTGTTTATTCAGGTAAGGCATTGCAGGGGGTTCCAGTTACGGAGAGCAGCTCTTTCTCCAAATTTGTTTCTTAAAGAATAAAGCAGATTGAGTTGGTAATCTTTACAGGGCTCCAGTATGACTCTCAAGTGCAGACTCCCCAACATGTTCCTGAAAGCAATGAGCAGTTTCTTAATTGCTCTTCTGATTTCCCCAATTTATGTATTGTTCCTCCCCAAAATGCTTACATAATTCAAGGTAGGTCAAAAAGTAGGTTTAAAGCTGTTCCTTTGGAAAATAATACAACAATTAATAAATAAGAATACACTTTGTGTTTTTTGCATACTCACAACTGTAAGCCTACTTTTGCCCCACCCTGTATTTTATTCTAGGTGTACCATAACTTATCTAATGATTATTTAACATTGAGATTATCCTAATTTTTCACTATTATCCATAAGGTTATTTTGAACATTTTTATACGTAAAACTTGATTTGCACATATGATTATCACCTTTGGATAGATTCCTTGAAAATTTTTATTTGTCATTATGATAGCTAATAGTTTAAATGGTTCCCATGTTAACACTTTGTATGCATAATTTTATCTAAGATTTTCAACAATAATCCTGTGGAGTAGGACTAGTCCTTGACACTTAGGGAAGTTAATAACTTATCCAGGCTAGTATTTGTTCAGTCAGAGTTTTACTGTTCAGATTCACCTAGGTCTTAGACTTTATGCAGAAGCCAGGCAAACTGTTTTCCTCCTATTGCCAGCTTTCATATATACTGTTTTCCCAACATACTAGTAGGTGGTGCCTCCACTTGCTAAAATCTTATCTAAAAGTCCAGGAAACTTTTACTAAAAGAAATCATTTCTCTTTTATGTTAACTCTATATTCTCTGAAGCAGTTAATCAATTTGATTCCTCACAGTAGCTTTTGTTAGCATTAGATCTATTGTTGTTGTTGTTAATCCTCACCCAAGAATATTTTCCATTGATTTTTAGGGAGAGTGGGAAAGAGAGGGAAGACAGAAAGAAACATTGATGTGAGAGAAACACATCGATTGGTTGCCTCCTGCAGGGGCCTTGACCAGGGCCCGACAGGGAGGAGCCTGCAACCAAGGTGTGCGCCCTTGACCGGAATTGAACACGGGGCCCTTTGGTCAGCAGTCCAACACTCTCTCCACTGAGCCAAACTGGCTAGGGCAACATTAGATCTATTTTGTTTGCATTTGTAAATCATTTAAGTTTTCCTTATTTCCATCATTAGAATACCAGGTGTACCAGTTAATAATGCAGATATTGTAATAAAAGAAAACATGATAATTTCAAGAGAAACATCAAAAGTGCTTTATTCAAAGTAATGTCTATCGCTAGCTACATATTTCCCCCATCTTTCAGGTAATTTGTGGATACCGTCCACATTATACTGGCACAGCAGGTATAAATTCATCAAGATAAAAAGAGTAAAAGTTGTTTTTGTAGTTGTTCACAATGCTTTTGAAAAGTTTTGCTATTAGTAGTTGCTCAAAAACGTTGTTGACTGGTTTGTCTGGCTAGCAGTACTGAAACCTGGACATTGTCTTCTCTTCAGGTGCACTGTATTAGCACAGAATTCACCATGAGGAAACATGGTGGGGAAAAGGGTGTGCCCTTCCGAGTACAAATCGATACCTTCAAGGAGAATGAGAACGGGGACTATACGGAGCACTTGCACTCAGCCAGCTGCCAGATCAAAGTCTTCAAGGTGCCTGCGCATCGTGGCCCTGGGAGCTAGTACTTGCCTCGACTTTCAGTTGTAACATTTAGTCACCAAGTCAGAAAGCCAGCTTGTTGGGGTTTTTTTTGTGTTTGTGTTGTTGTTTTTTCAAATATAAAACTATGAAAACGCATGGTTTTTCATTGAATGCTCTTAAAGCCTGTTAAAGTGATAAGCTCTTTAAAAAGCTCACAAAAATTATGAAAAGTTGACAGTTTTGCTTATATTTATACTTGATCTTCTTTCCTTATTTTGGTCTTTATCATGTGGATAAATATGTTCTCATTTAAAAAGATTCATTAATACAAAGGTATTCCGAGCACAACACTGTTTCCCTTTATCACTCTTACCCTGACTCTCCAACCTCTCCCCACAGGTCCCCACTGTTTTAATTTGGTGTGTATATATCCTTCTCTTACCTTCTGTGCTTTTACATACACATGTTCATATGTATACACATATTTCTTTTCTTTCAAACATAAAAGGGATTATATGGTATGAACTGTTTGAGGCTTGCTTTTTTTCAGTTACTGTGTGCTTTTGAGATCTTTCCATGTCCATAGTTATAAATCTCCTATTCTTTTTTAACTTCCTCAAACACTTACTTTTCCTATTTTCAGATTTATATGCAATGATGCATTTTGTCTTTATGTCATTACAATATATCTTTGTTTTATTTGTGACTGTTTACATTTTTAGAAATAATACTGTTGGGTTGAGGGTGAGTTTAAAACAAAGTATTTCTCATTTCAGCCCAAAGGTGCAGACAGAAAGCAAAAAACAGATAGAGAGAAAATGGAGAAACGAACACCTCATGAAAAGGAAAAATATCAACCTTCCTATGAGACCACTATACTTACAGAGGTAAAAGGATTTCTTTTGGTGACAATTTTAATCAATACTTTTTACTCTTTTTAAAAAAATATTTCTTTATTGATTTCAGACAGGAAGAGAGAAGGAGAGAAAGATAGAAACACCAATGATGAGAGAGGATCACTGATCGGCTGCCTCCTGCACACCCCCCACTGGGGACTGAGCTGCAGACCAGGCGTGCGCCCTTGGCCAGAAACGAACCCGAGACTCTTAAGTCTGTAGGCTGACACTCAATCCACTGAGCCACGCCAGCTAGGACAATGCTTTTTACTCAAGAAAAAAAATCCAATCAATTACATATATCAAATCATTATCTTGTGATTTACCTAAACTAATATAATGTTATATCTCGATTTTTAAAAATTGTTTTCCACTTGTTCAAATTTTATTTGGCCTCTTAATTATGGGGGGCTCTGAAGAATTAAAATGTGCTTTTGCTAATCAAGATGTGCCATTGAAGTAAACATGTTTTGGTGGAACACTCGGGTCAATTATACTTTTTAGTATCTAAGCTTTCCTTTGTTGTAGTGTTCTCCATGGCCCGAAATCACATATGTCAATAACTCCCCGTCCCCTGGCTTCAACAGTTCGCACAGCAGTTTTTCCCTTGGGGAAGGGTAAGTCTGGGAAATGAAATTGACTCGTGTTTGTCCTAAATGTGTATTTTTTATTATCTTTCTGTAGACAATATCTTTCTAAATCAATCAGTACTTCTATTTGGTCAGGCTTTGATGGACTTACATAGTAACTGAGGTTTGGATTACCGTCAAAGACACGGGAGGTATTTTGTTTTTTAACACTGTCTGTGTCTTTGTAAGGCCTGTCTCACAGAGGAGAGTGCACTGGAGTAGGTTAGACTTTGTTGCTATGGCAAGCTCAAATTGTTTCAGACAGTTTTGATCATCAGCCAGAGTGTTGCTGGTAAGAGACCGAAAGAGTTTTATATACTCCTTTCTCTTCTTTTTTCCTCCCATTAGGAAATCACTTTTATGGTGGATTTTTAGTGAGACAGGGACTGATTTTCTGGGCTTTTCACTTCTCCTTAGAACTGCTTTTTTTTATTGTTTCACTTCCTGATCATACTCTCACCAGAGATGGGTCATCGGAATTGAAACACAGTTGTACAAACATTAATATCTTTTTTGTTACTTATTAAGAATGATCCTAACACCTAATTATCATGAATCGTTGCTAATCAGGGGAAGAAGGTTGAACATGATAACTAAAGAGTGTCTTTTCACCCTATTAGCACATATTCCACCTGGGCCATATTGAAATTTCAAATAAGCTATGAAATTTGTGATTATATTGCTTGGTTGTAATGTTTGTTTTTAATTTCTTTAGGCTTTGTGTTCAACCTAATTCTGAAATATTTAATTCAGGTGGCTTAAATATTCAACATGTATCAGTTAAGAATAAAAATAGGTAGGTGTTGTAGAAAGAATAGTGAACTGGGGCCTTGAGATAAGTTACTAAATTTGAAGACTGAATTTGGATTTTATAGTTAAGGCCAAAAGAAAAAGAAGAAAATACTTTTTAGGAAAGAAAAATCTCTTATTATTCACATGGATTATTCAGCCTACTTATAAGCAATTTTAATTATTATATTGGATTTAAGAGGTAAAGAATGATTATGAACCTTAGTATGTGTCATGGACTCATCCTTCCATTATGTTTCTTTAGAAATGGTTCACCAAACCACCAGCCAGAGCCGCCCCCTCCAGTCACAGATGTAAGTCCAAAGTTAAATATCAGCTGTTTGAATGACTGATAATGTTCTGATGACTGTGTAGTTCAGTAGAAGTGTCCAACTTGTAAGGAGTATTCATTCATTCATTAAACAAACATTTATTGAATTTTGACTATGAACAAATACTATGCTAGGGACTGGAGATATAAAACAAGTAATGCAGGACCCTTGTACAATATTTAAGGAATTTACAATCTAGTAGGGAAGATAAGGATGGAATTCCAAGGGTATCTTGTATGGTTAGAGAAAGAAGACTGATGTATAAACAACTTCCAAGCAAAGTAGGCCTATTTGAGTGTGGGTGTGTTTGGCTATGTGTTACCTAATAATATTTACCTTTTTTTAATTCACTCTATTTACCGTATTTTTCGGACCATAAGACGCTCCGGACCATAAGACGCACCAGTTTTTAGAGAAGGGAAATGAAGAAAAAAAGATTCTGAAACAAATAGTGTCCTAAAATATTTTATGTGCATTAAAACCCAACATCACAGTCATAAACACATGTAATCAACCCTGTAAAGTAAACAGCAGCATTTAGAACCATTTTAGAGCCGGGCAAGCACACAGAGACCACACAGAGCCGGGCAAGTAAAAAAACTTTTTTTTTTAAGTATATGTGTAGGCTATATTTGGACCATAAGACGCAGGGGAAAAAAGTGCGTCTTATGGTCCGAAAAATACGGTAGTTACCAAAAAAATTGCTTTCTCTCTTTCAGAACCTCTTGCCAACAACCACACCTCAGGAAGCTCAGCAATGGTTGCATCGAAACCGGTTTTCTACATTCACAAGGCTTTTTACAAACTTCTCAGGTTAAATTTGCTTGTCCTTTGTTTTCTCCAGCATTGGATATCCATGTGAGGGGGGGTGTGTGTGTGTGTGTCAGTGTGTGCGCGCGCGCGTGTGTGAAATATTTAAAAAAAAAAGATCTCTTAGTTTAAACTCACTTTAATTTTAAAATATTTATTCTTTACAACACTTCACATAGTATTTTATCAAGGAACATTTCGAGGTAGTCTGAAATTTCCTCTTGATATCATTATATTGTATTTTATTTGCATATTCCACTTTTATTTAATACCTTCGGTTACCAGGTATGGTAGGAATACACAGATGGATAAGACATACATATTTCCTGATCATTCATTATCTAGTATCAAAAAAAATCAAATCAAAATACCACCCCCCTCCCCCCCAAAAAAAGGGTAAACAAGTAGTTATGATGTAGTAGATACAAAGTTAGGAATTTAGAGAAGGGTCTGGGTTAGGAACATGTGTGATGCATGAAGAATGAGGAGGAATCTGTTGGTCAGACAGTGGGAGGTTAATTCCGGCAGGAGGAGCAACTTCTCATTAGACATCATCATTGGATGAAAACATAGGGTTAAATGGAGAAGTAATTGGGTGGGAATTGAGGTGGAAGATGAAGCAGGAGCCAGGTCATGGAGGGCCTTACATATCGGGTCTAGTAATAATTAATGTCGTTTTTAAACATTCGTTTAAAATCTTGCTTGGCGTTGACTTGTATTGACATAACCTTCAAACACGTGGTATCTACAGAACGTGTGAAGGGCAATTAACAAGTTTTGCTTGAAAAAGTTTGTGTTTGGTTTGGTTTTTGTTGCAAAACTAGGGCTAAGAAGATGGCGGATGAAGAGCATATTCGGCACTGCATGCTTTACGAGTTCCAATTAGGAAGAAAAGCAAGTGAGGCTGCAAAAACATCTGTAGTGCTCTTGGTCAAGATGCAGTTAGCGCCAGAAAATGCCAGCGTTGGTTTGAGAAATTTCGCGAGGGAAATTTTTCGTTAGATGACAAGAGTGGTCGAGGCCGTGTGTCCAATTTTGATCAAGAAGCTCTTCAAACTCTTTTGGTGCAAAATCCTCAAATTACCCAACAAGAGCTTGCGACAACTTTAAATTGTTCACAAAAAACAATTTCCAATCAATTGCGTGCACTTGGCAAAGTCCAAAAGTTTGGAAAATGGGTTCCTCATGAGTTGACCGGCAACAACTGTAATCAAAGAGTCACAATTTGCAGTTCGCTCCTCTCTCGTCAAAACCGTTTGCCGTTTTTAGAGCAAATTGTTACCGGAGATGAAGAATGGGTGCTGTATGTTAATTTGAAAAGGCGGCCTCAATGGTTGGACAAAAATGAGGCTCCGCAGCCCACGCCAAAACCTGACTTGCATGCGAAAAAAGTGATGTTGTGTGTTTGGTGGAATTTTAAAGGGATTCTTCATTATGAACTTTTACCATCTACCCAAACCATTACAAGTGCAGTGTATAGTGCCCAATTGGAAAGGTTAGCCCAAGCTTTAAAAGAAAAAGAACCTGCGCTGATTAATCGGAAGGATGTAATTCTTCACCACGATAACGCACGACCGCATACTGCAAGAATCACTGCTGAAAAACTGCGCCAGTTGGAATGGGAAGTTCTCCCTCAACCTGCATATTCTCCTGATATTGCCCCTTCCGATTACCATTTGTTTCGTTCTTTGCAAAACTTCTTCTTGGAAAAAAATTTAATAATGAAGAATGCCTCAAAAATGCATTGACCGAATTTTTTGCAGCAAAATCACAAGAATTTTACAACAGAGGGATTAAAATGCTTCCTGAGCGTTGGGCACAAGTAGTAGAAAACAACGGCAACTATATCGTTGATTAAATTTTGTTGTATTGTTTAAATAAATTCGATTTAGAAAGTATTAGAAAACGACATTAATTATTACTAGTCCTAATATCATGCAAAAGATTATGGATTATAACATAGTAGTAATGAGGTGTCCTTGTAACTGAGCCCATTTTAATAGTCATTAACAAAGAAAATCTTTGCCTCTATCACCCATTTTCTTATGTTTATTTCAGGGGCAGATTTATTGAAACTAACTAGAGATGATGTGATCCAAATCTGTGGCCCTGCAGATGGAATCAGACTTTTTAATGCGTTAAAAGGCCGGTATGTGATTAATGTTTAGTGTTAAAGTATCAGTGAGGTTGGATTTCAAATGGATTTGGATTCAGGGATTCTTCACAATTTCTGTTGCACAGCTAAATCCATCTTGTCAAAACATTCTATTTGAATGCTAAGTATGTACCAAATAAACAAAGATGAAAAATATACTTTCTTACACTTGACTCAAGGAATTCCTCATGATAGCCCATTTTTTATTTTCAGTAGTTTTTTCATTCAGTAAATATTCATTGTCCTTATTATGAGCCATTGGCCTCTGGGAATATATTGGTGAGCAAAATAAACATGGATACTACTTTCTAATGGAAAGAGAGTTAAAGCTATAAACAGTACTTTGGTTAGTGATAGTACTTTGAAGTAAAACAAACAAAAACAAGGTTGTGACCTACAGAGTGCAGCATTTGGTTAGAGAAGATCTGAGGAGGGATTATTTATCATCTACGGCCACACCTCCCTGATTTTGGAAGCTAAGCAGGTCAGGCCTGGTTAGTACTTGGATAGAAGGAGGGATTATTTAAACTGTTATGAGAAAACTATGAAGGAAGAGACTCCTAGGCAGAGGGAACAAGAGATGTTAAGACTCTGAATTCAGTTTTAGCTAGGAAAGAGATCATTCTTAAGTTTGTACAGGAATTGTTTAAGTGGTCTTCTTACAAATATTATTTATAATACAGAGAGTGACTTATAGACCCAGTTTGTGATTTCCAATTTCCAATAGGTACTAGTAATAGTAATGGAAAAGACATACAGGTCAATGCCATAAAACCAAATCAGTGACTAAATAATAAAACAGATTGTGTAGTATTTGTGTTTGTACATCACAAGAGTTATCAGGTTGGCTATAATCTTGAAAAATTTTAAGGAAAGGTGAAATTCAGGAGTAAATGACTTGGAGAAAAAGAATGGACATTTCATTTTTACATGTATTATCTAAAGAGCACTAAAAAATAGGAAGCATGCCGAAACCGGTTTGGCTCAATGGATATAGTGTCGGCTTGCAGACTGAAAGGTCCTGGGTTTGATTCCAGTCAAGGGCATGTATCTTGGTTGCGGGCACATCCCCAGTAGGGGGTGTGCAGGAGACAGCTGATCGATGTTTCTCTCTCATCAATGTTTCTAGCTCTCTGTCCTTCTCTGTGAAAAATCAATAAAATATATGTTTTTTAAAAAAGGAAGCAGTGATGGAAAAAGTTAAATTAAATTTTTAAAAAAGAAATAGGGAGCAATAAGGTAATAAAATCAAGAAGTAATTGAATAGGGTTATCAAAGAAGTAAGAATAGCACTAACTGGTTTTGGCACCTACCTCAGTTGCCCACATGTGGAGGCAACAATCGATGTGTCTCTCTCACATTCATGTTTCTCTTGCTCTCTGTCTCTCCCCCTCCCTTCCACTCTCTCCAAAGAAGAAGAACAGAAAGAAGGCTTAGGCTACTTAGGTTTTTGTGTGTTTAAAAAAAAATTTTTTTTTAATCCTCACCTGAGGACATTTTTTCCATTGCTTTTCAGAGAGAGTGGAAGAGAGGGAGAAGAGAGTGTGTGAGAGAAAAACATCAATATGAGAGAGACACATTGACTGGTTGCCTCCTGCACATGCACCTGCAACCTAGGTATGTGTCCTTGACTGGGAATCGAACATGAGACCCTTCAGTGCACAGGGCGACACTCTAACCACTGAGCAACACTGGCCAGGTCTGGCTCATACATTTTGAATATAGATTCAAATGGCTTGACTTATTATTGTTCAACTTTATGGTTGTGTGGAAGTGATATGCAGTCAGTAGAAACTGTACTTCGAATTGTGAATTTTGATCTTTTCCTGGCACAAATGATAGTAGTATCTATCTATCTATCTATCTATCTATCTATCTATCTATCTATCTAAAAGCCTAAGCCAGTATTTTTCAACCTTTTTTGGGCAAAGGCACACTTGTTTCATGAAAAAAATCACGAGGCACACCACCATTAGAAAATGTTAAAAAATTTAACTCTGTGCCTATATTGACTATATATAAAGTAATTCTCTTGAATAGGAATCAAATAAACACAAAGAAAGTACTTTATAATTACTTTATTATGAAATATTAAGTAAACAAAATAGTGAAAAATTATAAAATTCTTGTCTTGTCTGCACCTACGGCACACCAGGCAACATCTGTGCCGCGGAACAGCGGTTGAAAAACGCTGGCCTAAGCAACTGTTATGACCAGTCGACTAAATGACTGACCGGTTGCTATGATGTGCACTGACCACCAGGGGGCAGATACTTAACACAGGAGCTGCCCCCTGGTGGTCAGTGTGCTCCCACAGCCAACCTCCTGTGGCCACCTAATCTCCCTTGGTCCTTCCCCGGCCGGCCGGCCGGCTCCAATGGGCCCCGTCTCGCCAGGTCAAGGGACCCCACCTCTGCATGAATTCGTGGCAGTACTGTAATGCTGAGTGATGGCAGTAAGATAGTTTTGCGCTGCTGTAGGCTCCTATAAGTGTTCTGATCATGTTTAAGGTAGGCTAGGCTAAGCTATGATCTTTGGTAGATTAGGTGTATTAAGTGCATTTTTGAGTTATGACATTTTCAATTTATGATGGGTTTATTGGGACATAATCCCACCATATGCTGAGGAACATCTGCATTTTTAACCTCTACATCAAAGGTCAAAACTCAGGTGACTACAGAGGCCATATGTAAATGAGTGACAGTCAAGCCTGGGGTGTACAGAAGAATGCATGCCCCATACAAGAAAAAAGCTGATTGTTATCTTGTCTTGTGGAATGAGGGCTTTGGATTGCCAGATCTGATTTTTGAAAAGCCAAAATTCAGAGGCTTACACTGAGTGGCCAGATTATTATCTCTGAACACATAATAATCTGGCCACTCAGTGTGTGTGCACATACTAAAGGCCTGGTGCACAAAATTTGTGCATGGGGGTGGGGAGGAAGGTGTGTTCCTCACCTCATCCTGCACCCTCTTCATTCTGGGACCCCTTGAGGGATGTCCGGCTGCCCTCTCAACAGTCCAGGACTGCTGGCTCCCAACTACTTGCCTGCTTGCCTTCCTGATTGCTCCTAACTGCTTCTGCCTGCCATCCTGATCACCCCTAGCCACTCCCCTGTCGGCCTGATCAATGCCTAACTGCTCCCCTGCCAGCCTGATTGCCCCTAACTGCCCTCCCCTGCTGGCCTGATCACCTCTAACTGCTCTCCCCTGCTGGCCTGGTTGCCCCCAACTGCCCTCCCCTGCAGGCCTGGTCCCCCCAAACTTCCCTCCCTTGCAGGCATGGTCCTTCCAACTGCCCTCCCCTGCCAGCTCGATTGCCCCTAACTGCCCTCTTCTGCTGGCCTGGTTACCCCAACTGCCCTTCCTTGCAGGCCTGGTCCCATCCCCAACTGTCCTCCCCTGCAGGCCTGGTCCCATCCCCAACTGCCCTCCCCTGCAGGCCTGGGTCCCTCCCCCTGCAACAGTCCTCCCCTGTAAGCCTCGTCACCCCCAACTGTCCTCCCTTGCAGGCCTGGTCCTTCCCAACTGCCCTCCCCTGCTGGCCTAATCACCCACAACTGCCTCCCCTGTTGACCATCTTATGGCAGCCATCTTGTGTTCCCACGAGGGCAGCCATCTATGACCACATGAGGGTGGCCATCTTGTATGTTGGAGTGATGGTCAATTTGCATATTACTCATATACATACATAGGCCGGGTGCATGAATTCATGTATGTGTGGGGTCCAACCAGCCTGGCTGGGGGAGGGGACGTGGGCTGTTGGCCAGCCTGCCTGCTGGTCAAACTCCTGGTTGAGAGGACAGTTTGCATATTAGCCTTTTATTATATAGGATACACACTGAGTGACCAGAATATTATGCGTTCAGAGATCATAATAATCTGTCCACTCAGCATATATGGCGTCTTCTGTTGGAAAGAATTCAGTTAAATGTGAGCACCCACACACAAACACACACAGAAGCTAATAAAACAGGTCAAATGAGCTGCATTAGCCGTGGGCTGCCGGTTTTCAGCCGACGCTCTGTAGTGTTAGCATAACTGCACAAGTTGTCCCTTAAAATGTGCTTGCTGTGAAAAATAGAAGACTAATAGCTTTTTCTCTCTCTCACTAGGATGGTGCGCCCAAGGCTAACCATTTATGTTTGTCAGGAATCCTTGCAGTTGAGGGAGCAGCAGCAGCAGCAGCAGCAGCAGCAGCCGCAGCAGCAGCAGAAGCACGAGGATGGAGACTCAAATGGTACTTTCTTCGGTAGGTCATTCGGGACGAAGCCCGGAAAGATGTGAATAAAAAAAGGTAAAGAGATTACGTACAAGCATGTTTGATAGGAATTTATCTAATAGCAGATTTATAATAGAAGCAATTTGCTAGAACTAATGGTAATAGCTTGAGTTTCTGATATATGCCCAGGCACTATTCTCAGCACTTTTTTTTTTTACACATTTGAAGTTTTACTAGTATCTCCTCTTTGCAGTAGATTTTATTGTTATCTCCCACATTTAGGTTAGGAAGATGAGGCTTAGGGATCTTAAGTAACTTACTCTCAGCCTCAAGCAAGTGGTTGAGTCCAAGACTCAGGATTTGACTTTGAGCCCTTCAGAAATTGGGCATTCCTAGTGATCAGATTACCAGTCAGGGGCACAGATAAGAGCAGATAAAGTTTAGGAACAGATAAACTTTGTACTGACGGCCTTTGCTCTCTCCTTTTTGCAGTGTACCATGCCATCTACCTAGAAGAACTGACAGCTGTTGAATTGACAGAAAAAATTGCTCAGCTTTTCAGCATTTCCCCTTGCCAGATCAGCCAGATCTACAAGCAGGGGCCGACGGGAATTCATGTGCTCATTAGTGATGAGGTAATGTACATCTGAATTTTCAGTATAGCCGAATCACCAGGTGACAGTGAATTTGTCAGGGCATATAGCAGGAGCAAGAGCAGTTCTATTGGGGCAGAGTGCTCTGTTTCCTAGACCAGAGGTTTCCAGATGTTTTTGCTTATTTACCTCCTAAAATAATTTTTTTTAATATGTATTTATTTATTTTTTTATTTTTTTTTTTACAGAGAGGAAAGGAGAGGATAGAGAGTTAGAAACATCTATGAGAGAGAAACATTGATCAGCTGCCTCCTGCACATCCCCTACTGGGGATGTGCTCACAACCAAAGGTACATGCCCTTGACTGGAATTGAACCTGAGACCCTTCAGTCCGCAGGCCAATGCTCTATCCACTGAGCCAAACCTATTTTGGCTAAATATGTATTTCTTTGTACATTTTTAGGGACTTAAAATTTTTACTCTTAAGTTTATTTATTTTTATATTTTATTAATCCTCACCTGAAGATATTTTTTCCATTGACTTTTAGAGAGAGTGGAAGGGAGGGGGGAAGAGGGGGGCGAGGGAGAGAGAGAGAGGAAGAGGGAAGGAGGGAGAGGGAGGGAAGGAGAGGGAGGGAGGGAGAGGGAGAGGGAGGGAGGGAGAGGGAGGGAGGGAGGGAGAGGGAGAGGGAGGGAGAGGGAGAGGGAGGGAGGGAGAGGGAGGGAGGGAGGGAGAGGGAGGGACAGAGAGGGAGAGGGAGGGAGAGGGAGGGAGAGGGAGGGACAGAGAGGGAGAGGGAGGGAGAGGGAGGACTGGGATTGAATCTGTAACTGAGGTGCACGTGCCCTTGACTGGGAGCTGAACCTCATTCCCTCTGGCTGACCCTCGAATTACGAGCAACGCGGACCAGGGCTCTTCTAAGTTTGAATGCAGTCGCACAGGACGCTATTTCTGGGGACATCATGTTACATTTAAAAATGACATGGCTGCCTGGCTGGAGTGGCTCAGTCGGTTGAGTGATGTCCTATACACGGAAAGTTTGACAGTTTGATTCCCGGTCAGGGCACATACCTGGGTTGCAGCATGTTTGGAAGGCAACCAATCATTGTTTTCCTCTTTCTCCCTTCCTCTCTAAGTATGTCCTAAGGTGAAGATTAGGGAAAAAAAATTTTAAATAAAATAATTCTGAAATGATTCCTTCACTGTTCTAACTATATTCCATGTAACCTAAATACAAGTGATTTAATACCATCATCTGTTTAAAAGAAATATATACTTTTTAACAGAATTTTTATATAATTTCCTTGAATTCATATTTATGTTTACTTCTCCATATAATTTTATCTCACCATAACATTTTTATGCTTGAACGCTTTTTATTAATTATTTTATTATATTTAATTGAGACAAACATTTGCTTCAATAAAAAAGTTGTTTCTGCCGAAACCGGATTGGCTCAGTGGATAGAGCGTCAGTCTTCAGGCTGAAAGGTCCCAGGTTCGATTCCAGTCAAGGGCATGTACATTGGTTGTGGGCACATCCCCGGTAGAGGGTGTGCAGGAGGCAGCTGGTCGAAGTTTCTCTCTCATTGATGTTTCTAGCTCTCTATCCCTCTCTCTTCCTCTATGTAAAAAATCAATAAAATATATATATTTTTTAAAAAGTTGTTTCAGTCCCAGGCAGTGTGGCTCAAGTGGTTGAGCATTGACCCATGACCCTGGGAGGGTCACAGTTCAATTCCCTGTCAGGGAACATGTCTGGATTGTGGGATTGATCCCCCGTAGGGGATCTACAGCTCATCAATGATTCTCTTTCATCGATATTCTCTCTCTCTCTCTCTCTCTTAAAAAAAAATCAATAAAAAATTTGTTTCAGTAAAATTGATAGATTATTTCTTCTGAATAGAATTAATATCATTAATTATAAAGTTGATTAAAACAATATAAATGTATTACATGTTTTGATGAGTAATTAAACATTAAGAAAAAAATTATTATAAATGCATCTAGTAATAAGATGGATGAAATTGTTTGATTTCCTACCCTCTGTCTCACACACAAGTAATTCACCTCTAGACGAATACTGCCTATATAATGAAATAGAGTTCAGCATCAATTCCAACTATTTTTTCTCTAGATGTAAGTGTTGTGGAACCTGGCTCACGTTTATTGACTAAAAGCAATGGATGTTATTTTGTTATGACAACATTGCTCTATGTTTTTTTAACTTCTGAGTTCTGTGCCAAAAATTATATAGCATTTGTCAAAAATTATGAATCATCTATCACTTGACAGTTTTGATTAGGTCACTCCAATTCTGGTGAAAAGACAGAATTGGTAACCATGTGACCCACTAAGTCATTAGCGTTTACAGTTACAATTATACTGGGGTATTCTGGAACCTTTTTTTTTTTTTTTTTTAATATATTTTATTGATTTTGTACAGAGAGGAAGGGAGATAGAGAGTTAGAAACATCGATGAGAGTCATCGACCAGCTGCCTCTTGCACACCCCCTACCGGGGGTGTGCCCGCAACCAAGGTACATGCCCTTGACCGGAATCGAACCCGGGACCCTTCAGTCCCCAAGCCGACGCTCTATCCATTGAGCCAAACCGGTTTTGGTGCATTCTGGAACCTTTTATACTCCAGGGTAATGCATTTTGGTAGGACTCCAGGAAGGTGAGATTCATGCCTTTATTTTATAAAGCGGGGAAAGGGAGTTTGAGAAGGAAAGGTGGGAAAGGAAAACTGAAGAGGTTTCGGGCCGTTTTAGAAAAGAGTAGATATGGGAGTTGGAGAGCCCGGGGTCAGTTCTCGCATATGGGCCTCTCAGTGTCTGTGTGCCCTGGGAAAGTCTTGGGGTTAACCCAGGAAAATGCTCCAGTTTTAAGATCGCTGTTTTAAACGACTTCACTTTTAAAACTTAAAAACTAACCGGGAGAAAACAAAACAAAGCAAAGGATTATTTTTCACTCAAAGCTCAATGTTATAAAAAGCCACATAAGCAAAATAAATACAACAAACCAAAGTTTTTAAAATCAGCAAATTTTCGCCGAAACCGGTTTGGCTCAGTGGATAGAACGTCGGCCTGCGGACTGAAAGGTCCCGAGTTCGACTCCGTTCAAGGGCATGTACCTTGGCTGCGGGCAGATCCCCAGGTAGGGGGTGTGCAAGAGGCAGCTGGTCAATGTTTCTCTCTCATCGACGTTTCTAGCTCTCTATCCCTCTTCCTTCCTCTCTGTAAAAAAATCAATAAAATATATATATTTTTTTAAATCAGCAAATTTTCTTGATTTTTTTTTTCCAGATGATACAGAATTTTCAGGAAGAAGCTTGTTTTATTCTGGACACCATGAAAGGTAATAAAATAATAAACCAAACACCTTTTTCTAAGGAGCTTAAAAGCTTTTTTCATACTTCTTTGAGGAGAGAGGGAAGGTATCAATCACCATATTTGAGACAGAGAAAGTGACGTAACATTAGAGGTTGTTCTTTTGTATGAATTGGCTTCTTGTCATTATCAGAGTAGACAAAGTATAACTGATGATTCTCTGCCATTCTCTTTTGCCTTTCATGGACAAATGAGGAAACTGAGGCATGTTTTTATAATACAAATTTATTATAAGTATTCTGTGATAATTAATATATACACTGCTCTTTGCTGTGTATTTTTGTTGTTGTTTTGTGTTTTTTTCCTCAAAAGAACATAACTATTTTTTCCTTTCTAATGTGTCTTAAAGGTGACTTAAAGATTCTTCTCTCTTTCTTTTTTCCCTTTTTTTACAGCAGAAACCAGTGATAGCTATCATATTATACTGAAGTAGGTGTGGGCATTCCGTCCTCGCTGGCTGCTGCTTCCTTCGCCTCTTGGAAACGCCTCTCTCAAGGGGTTGCAAATGGAGATGGAAGGTCTGCAGGACCCTGACTGTGTGTGTGTTTGGGGGCGGGGGGAGGCCAGGCCATGGAGGCAGAATCTCAGCCACCTGTGTTGGCCCAAGCTCTTGAGGAATACACAGATTACTGCCCAACATGTATTTCTGCAGCTGTTTCTTAGTTAAAATTTCTGGACTCTGTTGTTACTGAATATCAGTAGAAACTCCATTTCATTTGGGGTGTATGTAGGGCATAATGATGATGATAATTGTGTGATGTTTAATGGGAAGACGTTAAATTTTGTGATATGAAGCTGTGTAAATTTTTTTCTAATATAAAAAAAGTGAACATCTATATTCATAAGACTAGAGCCTCAATCCCTTTTGCATCAAACATAAACTGGCTTTTGACCACCGTTGGCCCCTGAAAACCTCATCAAAGAGAATTTTTCTTTTGGTTCCCCTATAATATTATGAATAATATTAATTTTAGCTAACTTTTACGGAGCCTTTATTTGTGCCATGCATTGTGATAAATTCTTCGAATGGATTATCTTGTTAGACCCTCTTAATAATCCTATATGAAGTAGGTAATAATGATCCCTGATTGAAGACGAGGAAATGGAGACGTGTAGTGGCTACGTAGCCTGCTGAGTAATGGGCAGCTAGCGGGCAGTGTGCTGCTGAAATCCGAAACCAGGCAGGCTGGTTCCTAAAACTGCCACTCACTATGGCCACCCGTCAGTACCCGGTGCTCGTCACCATTGCCAATTGTGGCTCTTCTGGCGAATAGGACATAACACTGGGTGAGAACTGAGTACTTAACACTGAAAGGGACAACCACACCTAATGATGAACAAATCAAAATCTACAAGAAGTGCTTTGTAAGCACCTTCAGTTATCAGATCACAGAATTTGAGGTGGTGAAAACTAGGGATTTTCTGTAACTCCCAAAATTCATTGTTCTTGAATGACTTTCCAAACTATTTATTAACGAGATAAACTAACCCCTCCTTTCTTTTGCCCCTCTCTGCATTTTCTCTTGGTATAGGAAGTTCTTTTACTCCTGTGGTGTTCCTTTATTTAAGCTTTATAAGAAACTCCTTCTGATTCCATTCACATTCTTCCCATATATTTTTGTTCCTTCTTAAAGAATGATTGTGTGTTTACATGTGTAAGACTATGGGTCATTTTTCTTTTTCACGTGTAAAGTTTTATCCAGAAATCCCTTTACATATATGTTGAGTTGAAAAAGATAATGTTCAAAGATTATGTACTGGATTTGGATGTGTGTGTTTTTAAAGCATTTGATAAAATTTAAATGTTTTTATACAGATTTTTGTTCATTAAAATCAATCTGCAACATAGTCTGTTTCTTTTGATTAGAAACAAATAGAAAACCTTGAAACTAGAAAATTAAGTCAACTAAGTTATTTAGAACTGACCTGGGCAACTTGGCATCTTAGACCAAAATTTTTTTTTTAGTGAGTGATTACCAGAAGCCTCCATTTGAGGGGGACATTCCTAGTAGAATACTATATTCCTAAGACTGGTTCTCAGCTTCAGGGAAGTCAGCTCTCTCAGCAGGTTCCTATTGTGTTGATTTGTTTTTTTTCTATTCTGTCTGAATGATGTTAGACTAGGAGGGTTGGAATAGAAGACTTAAGATCACATCTAAATCTGAATCTGTGACTCTTGTTTACTGCAAATGATACATAGAATTCTATTAATATGTTTACTATAAACTTACAGTTACTGATTTTTACTTGGAGTTAGGGTGTGTGTGTTTTTTAGAGTAGTCTTCAAATTTATAGGAATGAATTCATACAAGTTTGTAATCATAGATCCTAAATTATCCAGAAAAATCTCTTAGGTTTTCTTTAGCTCCAGAAAATATTTGTAGTGCCAATCCAATATAATAAAAGCCCAATATGCTAAGTGTCTGGTCGTCCAGTTAACCAATCAAAATGTAATATGCTAATGATATACTAAGGCAGCTCAACTGCTCCCTATGACATGCACTAACTACCAGGGGGCAGACAGTCGACCAGCTGCTATGATGCTCACTGACCACCAGGGGTAGACACTCTGGTAGGTTAGCTTGCTGCTGGCCGATTGGGACTGAGCAAGACAGTCCAGACATGCCCTGGAACCCTTCTGCAGTCCCTCCCCACCTGGCCAACCTCCCACATCCCTCCCCAGCCCTGAGGATGCGCTAGTGGGATCCCTCGGCCTGGCCTGTGCCCTCTTGAAATCCAGGACCCCTTGCGGGAGGTTGGCCAGGCCGAGGGACCCCACTGTTGCACGAATTCCTGCACCGGGCCTCTAGTACTATATAATTGGTAAAAATTGGTATTGTGATTATTCACCTTCTTTAAAAATGCATCTGTTCACAGTTTACCCTTCCTATTAAATCAAAATTTAAACTAGCTTTTTTGTTATGAAAGTCATGTACAAAGTGATAAATTCAAATAATAAAGAACAATATAACTTACTACTTACCTCCTAGTTCCATTCCACAGAGGTCATCATTTTAAAAAATACCCCTCCATCTATCTCTCTCTCTCTCTCTCTCTCTCTCTCTCTCTCTCTCTCTCTCTCTCTTTCTCTCTCTCTCTCTTTTTCTCTCTCTCTCAGACACACACACAAATACTCAGATGGGTTTATGTAATAACTAATAGTCTGCATTTGCTTTTTATATTTATGTAATATATATTGAGCATAGTTCTATATTAGAATTTATAATTCCACATCATCCTTTTTAATGAATGGCCATTCCCATGCTTGGGCAGGTGTGGCTCAGTTGTTTGGAGCATCCTCCCATATACTGAAAAGTTGTGGTTGGATTCCCAGTCAGGGCTCATACCTGGGTTGTGGGTTCGATTCCCAGATGGGGTGCATACGGTAGGCAACAAATTGATGTTTGATCCTCGACCCTTTGGTCTAAGGGCTAACACTCTACCGCTGAGCCACACTGGCCAAGGGGCATCATCAGAATTTTTTTGCATGTATCTCTAAGATATATTCCTAGAAGTCAAATTTGCTGGATCTTACCTTTTAAACAATGTGACAGTTGATATTTAAAGTAGTTTAGTGTTTCTGTTAGAGTGAGGGTGTATGAGAAGGAGAATGTTTAGATTTTAGGCCCTCCTGAGAGGAGAGTAGCATCCTATTTGACTTCACATTGTCTGTTCTGTTCCCTCGAAGTGTAATAGGTTCCATCTAGAAGAATCTGCTGTATAAAGACTTGGTAGTTAAAAGCGGGTTATTGGGAAATAAAAAAGAAAGAGCTATTTACAGGGCTCTAAGAATTGAGTACTAGTCACTTCATGAAATGTATCTAGTAAGTAATAAGACTTTGTCCAGTATTATGGCCCAATAAAAATGTTTGCCCACATAAATTATTCCTTTAAGAAGTCGTTTAAAAGGAAGAGAAATGGGAATGGCCATATTGTCTGGAAAGAAATTATAAGACAATGAATACAAGACCACTTGAGTTTGAAAGACCTGAGAAAGCTGTCCACATGACGGGGAGACCTTTTAATGCCTGGAAGTCAGGCACTGTCAGGCGTTGGGAATGTTGTGAGGAGGAAGTCATGATCTCGCCCCTGAGAGTGAGAGGAGCATGGGGAGGCTTGGCAAGTGAGGAAAGTTTGGCACATAGAACTATTTCTCATTTATGCCAGTTGTTTATTGTTTGTAAATGGCTAATTATTTTGTATTCTATATATATAAAAGAAAAAGGAACATTTAATCCTATCAAGAATTTTTGTGAGTTTATTAGAGCCACACTGTCAACAATTGCCTGGAAAGCAAAACCTCAACAGATTAAGATAAGATAATGCTTCCGAGAACGGCAGTTTTACTTTTGTTTTAAATATATTTCTCACGGGAGAAAGGCAGTTTTGCATCTTACTTTATACATTACAATCAGAAGATGCCAGTGGTTACATGGAATTCATTGGTGATAGATTAGGGAGCTGGGAGGAAGCAAAGCCGGGAAACCTCTGGGACTGAGTGAAAAGTAAAATGATAGACACAAACATCTCGAACCTAGGCGGACACAGGATAATTAGTACTTAACAACGTGATAACAATAACAATGACAGGATTTATGGTCTCCACTGTAGTGCAGTGGTAGTGCTCTGAGGGGTTTGGAAGAAAAGGGACTTACCCGACATTCCAAAGGAATGTTCTCGAAGACACAGATGCTTAAGAGGAGAGGCAGGCTTACATAAGATAAAGATTGACTTTTGTCAGGGAAGTTTCTAGAGAACATGACTATCTGCCATACACTGCTTTTAGTGAAAAAGTTTTAATTTCAGACCGTCCTTTGTGATTATTTTAGGTCTCTGAGTTTGCAAAGCCACCGTGAGGCCTTTCCTAAGCTTGTCAGATTAGCACGTGGTCCCTTTTCTTCTACGAAATGTGCACATCAGTGTAAGACAATTGTGTAAACACTGCCCAGGACCTAAAACCTGACCTTTGCTTTCCATTGGTGGCTGCTTTTCTTTTTGGTGGTGGTTGTTGGCTGCTGCTCTTGATAGTATGTCTTTTCTGCCTATTCTGCTTTGACTTTATTGTTCCCCAAACAAATCAGCCATCCCTGATTTGTGCATGCTGAGCTGGTTCATACATACACAGCGGCATGGTCTAGGACAAAGCAGTAACATTTAGAAGTGGATGTCCAAGGTTGTTATTTACATGTTAATAATATTAGCATTTCTTTTCATTTTTCTTTGTAGTTTCTAATATACTGCACTTGAGCTTCCTGGTCATTTGACCTCCAGAGGCCCTGCTTAGGCTGGAGGCAGAATTGCAGTTATGAGCCAACTGGCACCATTGAGGTAATTTTAGCTAGTGATTCTATCAAGAAAATGAAATGCTGAATAAGTAACCCTGTGAAAATGGTTGTGATGTTTGTTAGAGGTTGGATGATTTTTTTTTAAATGTCTTGTAGTTTGTATTGATTTTTTTTTTTTTTGAGAGAGAGAGAGGAAAGGAGAGAGAGAGAGAGAGAGAGAGAGAGAGAGAGAGAGAGAGAGACGACAGACAGACAGACAGACATCAACTGGCTGCCTCCTGCGTGCACCCCTACCAGGGATTAATCCTGAAACCTGGGCAGTGCCCTGAGAGAGAACCAGACTCACCACCCTCTGTTTCACAGACACTCCAACCAACTGAGCCACACTGTGCAGGGCTCAGATGATATTTTGACTGTTTTAGAGCTTATTGCCAAATTGGATTCTGCTATTTTTTTATTTTTACAATATTTTTATTTTTTTGAATATATTTTTATTTATTTCAGAGAGGAAGGAAGAGGGAGAGGGAGAGAGAAATATCAATGATAAGAGAGGATCATCAATTGGCTGCCTTCTGCAAGTCCCCCATTGGGGATTAAGCCCACAACCTGGGCACATGTCCCTGACTGGAATTGAACTGGGACCCTTCAGTTCACAGGCTGACACTCTATCCACTGAGCCAAACAAGCCATTGCCTGCTATCTTTGTAAAATATACATATTTTTATTGATTTCAGAGAGGAGGGGAGAGGGAAAAAGAGATAGAAACATCAATGAGAGAATCGTTGATTGGCTACCTCCTGCACATCCGGGACTGAGCCAGCAATCTGGACATGTGCCCAGATCATGACCTCCTGACTCATAGATTGACACTCAGCCATGGAGGCCTGGGTTTTGCTATCTACACTAATAAAAGAGAAACATGCAAATTAACCATTACTTCACTATACCCACAAGCCATGCCCACCAGCCAATCAGCAAGTATGCAAATTAACCCAGCCAAGATGGCAGCCAGCCATAGAGCTGGACCAAGCAGGAAGCTTGGGTTGCCCTGGGCAATGGAGGAGGCTAAGTTTTCTGCCAGCCCTGGCCTCCGCTCAAGGCTACAAAGTTTCAATTATAGAAGATAAGTAAGTCCCCCAAAAAATGAGCTGGCCACGAAGCTGGAGCAAGCAGGAGGCTTGTGTTGCCCCCAGCCATGGAGGAAGCAAGCTTCCTGCCCACCTGGGCTGGCCCTGGCCTCTGCTCAAGGCTACAAAATTTCAATTCTAGAAGATAAATAAATCCTAGATACTTGCTTTCAGACTTGCTGGGGGGGGTGGGGGGGTGGGGGGGGAGAAGGAGAGTCTGGGACCTTGGATCGCAGTGGGGGAGAATGGGGGAGATGTAGTGGTGATCAGGCCAGGATGGGACAGCAGGGGCCGTTGTGGGTAAATAGACTAGCAGGGGTCCAGTTAGGGGTGAGCAGGCTGTCAGTGGGGGTTACTTGAAGGTGATCAAGACAGCAGGTGGGGTTAGTTTGGAGTGAGCAGGCCAGCCAGTGGGGGGGGGGGGGGGGGGCGGGGAACAGTTGGGGGCGATCAGGCTGGCATGCAGAGTGGTTAGGGGCAATCAGGCAGGCAGGCAGGTGAGTGGCTGGATTGTGAGAGGGATGTCTGACTGCTGGTTTAGGCCCGATCCCTGCAAACGAGCAGTAGGATATCCTTCGAGGGGTCCCAGACTGGAGAGGGTGCAGGCCAGCTTGAGGAACACCCCTCCATCCTTTCCAACCCATGCACGAATTTCATGCCCTGGGCCACTAGTCTTAAAGAATGAGCTAACTTTGCTTTGGCTGTCATATAGTTTACTGTCATTAAATAACAAACCCTTAGCACCGAGGCTAAGGGTATTCAGATAAATTTCCATGAGTTCTACTCTGGATGTGAATGACTTTTAGGCTGTTTGCTTGTTTGTTTTTGTTACTCCGCCCATTGATTCACAGAGAGACCTGGGGCCTTCTCTTCCTTTTTGTCTCCTGTGTCCAGAAGAAATAGAATCATGAACATTTACATAGCACTGACTGTTGTAAAAATTTTATACAATAAACATTAATCTTCACAAAACCCTACAAGATACATACTGGTGTCTCCAATTTTGCAGATGAAAAAACTATGGCCCAGGGAAGTTAGGTACATTGTTGAGGGTCACACTACTAGTGAGTGGAGGAGTTGGGGGTTATATTCAGGCTGTCTGGTTCCAGGATCACATGTTATATCACACCTACATTTTGGCAGATAGGGAATTGATCAATACCTGGTTCCCTAAGGACTGATTTTTGGGGATCTGCTCCTGTTTCATTTTGCAGTGTTGTTTCCTAGCCTCTTGGAGTCTCATGTCACTTAGGGGAGAGGCATGGAATTCTTGGCATTTTTTTTTTTTCTCCCAAGCTACCCTACCCTCTAGATCTGGCTCCATAGTTCTTGGTTGTAGTGCAAAGTTTGGCTTTGGAACCATCCTAACCTGAGTTTAAATCCTACCATCTATCAATCCAATAAATATCCAATAAATATATATTGAGCTCCTAAATGTTGAATACCAGGCTTTGTACTGGGTACTGACCATATAATAAACAAAACAATTCCTTGCTCACATGGAATTTAGTCAAGTGAGAGAAGACTGAAAAACATAAATGTATTTCAGATGTTAAATGCTGAGAAGAAATATAAGGCAAGGGGAGAGAGACTAAAGGGAAACCCCATTTTAGCAATAATGGTTACACAGGTCTCTGATAGGGGACATTTGAGCAAATATTAAGGAAGTGTGGCTAATTGGTGAAAAGTGTGTTCCAGGCAAAACGCCTTGAAATGAGAACATGATTGTCCAGTTGAAGGAACTGCAAGGAGGCCAGTGGGCCAGTATTAACAGCAGAGTAAGGGAGGGGGAAAGGAGAAGGTAACACGATGATTAGGATTGGGGGGCGAGGGAGGATGTGAGACGGTCAAAGATGCACCTATCTCTTGTAGGGCCTTATAGGTCAAGGAAGAGACATTATTATTCTGAATGAGATAGACAATCAAAGCAGGATGTCCTTGGTAAAAATAATTTTTGAAAGAAAACAAATCAATCCGTCAATACATATTGAGATAACTCAATACATCGCTTGTATTTTCTTCTCTCTACACTGGGCAGGCTGCAGCAAGTCGTGCTGCTTAAGAAGACTAAGCTATCCCATGAGCGAGCTACGGGGGTTTTGTTGTTTCGTAGGCATGGGAGTGTGGTTATGGGAATTCGTCTCGTCATTGGACATTGGTAGCTGAGTGCCTCCCCTCCCCAAAAAGCTGCCGCGGCGCCACACTCGCACTCCTGGGGACTGCTGCAGCACCGACCCCGCCTCGCCAGCCAGTTCGCACCAGAGTGTTAGCTCCTGCCGGCCGCCGCCTCCAACTCCCAGCATGCTGGTGGGCGTGGGGCCCGCACGCAGACTCCATTTCCCAGCCTGCCCCGGGGCCCGGGCGGACGTGCCGGCGCCTATAAGAGCCAGAGCGCTGGGGCCGGAGCCTATTGTTAGCCGGAGCCGGGTCGGTTCTGGGCGGCTGCTGCCGGGGACGCCGAGGTGCCGGAGCCGGCCGCCCTCTGCTGCCCGCGGGCCGCCCTGCCCACCCTCCTCCCTCCCTCCGGGTCCTGCCTGCCGGGGAGCTGCCGGCCGAGGTCGCGGCCCCAGGACCGGCGCTCCGCTCCCTCCTCACCAGCGGGCTAGGGCGGCGGCGGGGGCGGCGGCGACCATCGCGGGAGGAGGCAGCCTCGGCGGGGCCGGTAATGGGCCTGGGGCCGCGGGGCGGGGGTGTGGGCCGGCGGGCGGCGGCGGGGGAGTGGTCGGCGCGGAGCCCCGCGGATGGAGGGTGGGAAATGCGGGAGCGGCCGGGGGGCGGGGAGCGCGGCGCCGCTGGAGGGGAGACCCGGGAGGGAGCGGCGCGGAGGTCCGGCCGGAGCGCGGGGGCCGCCCGGGAGGCCGAGGGGCGGCGGGCAGCCGGCGGGACCGCGGCGAGGCTGAGTTCGCGGAGCGGAGCTGATGCGGGATGGAGCGGAAGGGAGGGAGGAGAGGGGGACGGGGGAAATGTGGGAGGAGAGGTGGGGATCGTGATGAGCGGGCAGGGAGGGGAGGGAAGGGAAGGGATGGGGAGGCCGGGCAGGGGCTGCGGGAGATAAGAATGAGCGGGAAGGGTGAGCCGGGGAGAGACGGCCGGGAGCTGGGGGGGTTCCCAGAGGGCGTCCATCAGGGGGAACTGGCAACTCGGCATGTCCTTTCGGCTCAGGTTCCCCGTGCAGCCCCCGTGTTCCTGGCGTCGTGTGGGAAAACGGAAGCATCTATCGCTTGCCCCCGGTGGCTAGCTGGATCTCCGCCGCAGGCCCGGGCACGCCGCTGACTGCCACTCATCCCTTCTCGGGCCGTGGTCCTGATGCGTCCTTGTCAGGGAGTTTATAGAGTGGCATGTGACACGCCAGCCTCTCTTCCATATCCAGTGTTAGAAGTTATCCCCGAGAGACAGTTGTCCCCTGCCCTGCAGTTTTCAGCTCAAGGTAAATCCATAGTTGGTTCACATTCCCCTTTTCTGTACCGACTCTCCGCCTTGCAAACCTCCCGAGCCGGAGGAGGTCGGCGTGCACAGCGTGGTACATGACCGGTCTCCTTGAGAGGGAGTCTCCCTGCGGCAGCATGCTCCGGTTCTTCAGAGGTCTGTGTCCTCCAGAGGAGGGTGGTCAGGCCTGGAGAGCCGCGTCCAGCCTGGCGTGGGGCGGTCCGCACCAGGGAGTGGTGGAGGGGGCGCCCTTGAAGTACCCAGTGTAAAGGAGGTCTTCACTTGCGTTCCTTAAAGATTCGTGATCCTGTCATCACAAGGACACATTTCCACAAAATTCATGGTATCTGCAAATGAACCAGAATGTATTGTAAACGGAGACACAGGACAGGTCATCTCACTCAGGCTTATCACCCTGAGCAAGCCCGCCTTCCTGTACCCTCGCTACGGATGGTGGTAGCAGCCCCCGTGATCTTACTGGAGGTTCTGGTCCCTTGACCTTTAGCAGAAGGTTGGGTTCCAGCTGAGTGGAGAGGCTTTTTCCTCTGAGATGTATCTTTTCTTTCTTGCTTCTTCCTTTTTTAATTCTTTTAAGAGAGAGGCTTAAAATACCTAAACTTTGCAAATATATTCTGCATCCACAGAATTTGGCGGGGGTCCCTCGCTTGCTAGTCTCATATTCGGGTTTTAAAGGAACCCTCACAGGCCTGGAAAGGCGGAGATCGAGTGCTCAAGTGCACACATGCTGCAGATGTGTTTGTTCGGTGCCAGCCTGATGCCTTCTGTGTGCCACGGAACCTCTGGGAAATGTTCAGCCTGAGCACTTGGGAAGAGACTGTAAAGCATGTAGGCAGAAAGTGTCAGTTGACCTTTCATTTCCCCGGCATTTTAAAGCTTTTATGGAGGTTTGCATTATTTTCTCAAGAGCATTTGTTGTTTGCGTTGCTCATTTTGACAGTTAACTGTCAGTTGTTGCCTGCATTGCTAGTCTCACCTTGGTTATTTCTGTATGGGTGTAAGTGCTGGGAGCATAACTTGTAAGTGTTTCTCTTGAACACCCACATTGATCCTCTGCCGGTTGAGAGGTGGGAACGACTGGTTTCTAATTGTGGTTTGAAAGGAGGTTGGTTTGATAAATTGGAAAATGTGGAGCCTAACTAGTATTCTAGTTGTAAAGCAAGAGCTCTCCAGGTTTATGCTTGGTGCCCAGGGAGCATCTTGATCTAACAAGTTAAGTTCACACCAGAGAGCTGGACAAGGAGACCTGGACTGAAATTTAAATAGATTGGCTGTGAGGACAGAATCGGTGATTTGATTTGATTTGATTTGATTTTAATAACAGTTAATGTTAGAGAACGTGATGCTAACAGACCCTGTGTAGGGTGAAGGGGACTAAGTCATTATGCATGTTATTTACACAGATAGCCATAGATTATTCTCAGGCATTTTAAGTAAAATATTTTTCTGCTGGGTTTCATATCTTTTTATTTTTCTTCCTTCCTTATACCCCTTGTCATTGTCCAGAACCCAGTGTTCCAGGAATAGAAGGGGAAAGACATATAAAAGGGTGAAGGAGAATGGAAAAAGCAGCCAGCAATCCCACTGCACCAGAGTGCACAAACATTAACCTAACGGATGATGCTCCTAAGGGCAACTGGGCGAAGTCAGTGGAGAATTTTGATGATAAAGATGATTTGGGCCCTAGACCATTTGGTTCAGTGGTTAGAGTGTCGGCCCTGGGACTCAAGGGTCACAGATTGATTCTGGTCCAGGGTGTGGACCTCGGGTGTAGGCTCCACCAATTGATACATCTCTCTCCCCCTTCCTTCCACTCTCTCTAAAAATCAATGGGGAAAAAAAAATACCTTTGGGTGAGGATTAACAACAAAAAAGATTTGGACCATACCCAATGCCATTCAGGGCTTAAAGAGAAATAGTCAAAGGGACGCCATGCTCCCAGAGCGAAGGGGACCCCAGGAAAGAACCAGAAGTGCATGTCATAAATCCTGGAGTAAATCCAGGCTGAAGAAAAGGCCGCTTTCCTGTAGCACCACTAGCTGGCTCTCAGTTAAAACAGGCCCGACTTACAACCTTCCTGAGAAAGCAGATGTTCAGCTCAGTTTGAGTTTTCATGTGGTGGATCAGATTTTTAAGTGGGGAGGAAAAATAAAATTTAGTGGTTAACAATATTATTATTATTATTTTTTTAACTCACCCACTTAAGTACTTAATTGCAAAGGTTTCCCCCCCACCTCATGGAGCGGAATGAGAAATGTGTTAGTTAATAGACACCTTTAAAACCATCGCTATTCGTTCAGCTCTCTCCTTACTGTGTCCTAGGAATGTGACCTCTGATGGCAAGATCAGTAACCTGAAGGACAGAATTGATACTTTGGACTCATTTTTAAATTTAATTACAACTCTTATCAAGTACTTGGTTTCTCTCCCCCCTCCCCCCACTCCCTGGCCAAATTTATTTCAGGAATGTCCTTGTCTGAGACCTATATATGGCTGATGTTTCTTAAGTCCATCTTGTGGCTTAAAGGGCATTTAAAAAAAAAATCTGAATAGATCTGGTTGACTATATAGAACTTATCCAAGAGCAGGTAGATTGCTTCCAAGAGACACACACCATCCGGAAAAACAGCCCTGGAGCAGGCATCCCTGACACCACACCGAGTGTATTCTGGGTAGCTGCTCTGCAGTGATGCAGCCGTCTTTCTGGGCAGTGTTGTTATTCCTGCCGCATAATTAGCAACTAGTGAGATCATAGTCTGGGAGATTCTGGCATTACTGAGGCGAAGCAGGGAGGCTTCCTATCGGCACATGTGGCCCCGGCCCCGACAGATTCGGATCCTTGCAAACGAAAGTCCAAAAACAGATCTGTAGCCCAGACTCCTTGGTTGGGTGACAGCTGGTGGAAGACACTGGCTGCCATACTGATGTGACCAGAGTAAATTGTCCTTTCTTCTGCTGTTTGTTGTCCCTTTGCTAGCTTCTTTCCAGAGGGCAGAGGTGGCGAAGCTGTTTTCTTGCACCAGCGGAACCCCATTTTATGGCAGAGTGAGACTGGGAAAGATTGTGGGTTTTGAAGCCAGTGCAGATTCTAATCCAGTCCATTCTTTAGAGCCAAAGTTGACCTTTCGAGGAGCCTGGAGAGACATTGTATCCTTGTGAAGATCTGGGTAAAATGTTTCCTTGGCTGCTGATGTACTTGGAAATTGAGAGCCTAGAACAGCATTTCCCAAAGGGCGCTCCAAGAATCATTTGTTTGCCCCTAAAATGCTCTGGGAAGCAAAGGGTCCCGGATTCAGGTGTGGGGACACACTGCTCTGGGCCCCCCCCCCTGCTCATTAGCATACTAAAAGCCTCTAAGAGGTTAGCCCGCAAACAGTTTTCTAAACGGTTTGACACCGAGGTCCTATTTTCATGTAAAAACCATTAATATCCGCCCAGCTGGTTTCCCTCAGTGGTTGGGGCTTTGGCCGAGGACTGAGGAGTTCTGGGTTGATTCTGGTCGTGGGCACTGTACCTCGGTTGCTTGAATTAGTTTATTTCATATATATACTTTGGGAGATGCCAGGCTGTGTCTTCACTAGGAAAGTAATTGGATCTAGTGTAGGTTTAGGCACCGCCTATTCTGCTTTGACGCCTAGTCCCTCCTCTGGCCCTGGGAGAGCTCTCCTGTGTGATCCAGTGATCCCCCAGCCCCGACGGCAGAACCAAAGGCCTCCCTCCTCGGGAAAGGTGCTGCGGTTACTCATCTGTTATTCTGAGTGGCTGAGGCTGGAGGGGATACGGGAAACAAAGGAGGAGGATGTTGGCCAGAATCAGCAGAGCAATGACCTGATCTGCAGAAAGCAGACGCCATTGCCAGCTCAGGCGCTTTCTCTCTCCAGGCGGAGACCTTCACGCACACACTGGGAGGGGTCTGTCACAGGAAGGACGGGGATGCTGATTCCTCTTCCCCCTGGGCAGAATCCTAATGCGCCTGGCTACCTGGTGGTGAGCAGGGGCTTTGGGGCCAACGTGGTGGGCTCCCCGAGGAAACCCCTGGGAAACCAATGGATGCATTCACGGGCTCGGGTCTCAAGAGGAAGTTTGATGATGTGGACGTGGGCTCATCAGTGTCCAACTCCGATGATGAGATCTCCAGCAGTGACAGTGCGGACAGCTGCGACAGCCTCAACCCTCCGACGACTGCCAGCTTCACACGTGAGTGGGCCACTCCCCCTGCGCACACCCGTCCCTGGCATCAGGGCCCATTGCAGCTCTTAGAGACACTTCTAACCAGCTCTTAGCTCCGCCTTGCTCCAGTATCATAGACAAGTCTGGTTTATCCCAGCTGATTTTACTTAGGCTTGTTTTTGGGTCCCAGGATGGGTGAATTAAACTGAAGGAGGAGAGGAGTCCAGGATTTACCCTTCCCACCAGCGTGAGTCCCATAGAGTTCTGTGATATTGTAGTCTAGCAGGACATAAATCCTTAGAGCCTGAACAAGTGGGCCAACTCCAGATTTCTTAATTCTTCTGCCTCAATTAGTTTCTTGGAAAGAACTTTTGATCAGGGGTTGCCAGTGTACCAAATTGGGCTCTGCCTGCTTTTGTAAATAAAGTTTTATTGGAACATAGCCACACCCATTGTCTATTATTGCTTTCATATTACATTGAGAGTTGAGTGGTACAACAGAGCCCTGATGACCTACAAACCCTAAAATACATACTTCGTGGCCCTTTATAGAAATTTGCCCTCCCATTATGCAACACTATCTAATAGAATTTTCTATTATGAAAAAAAACCTGTTCTATATCTGCACTGTCCCCTCTGGTAGCCATTAGCCACACGTGGCTATTGAGCACTTGAGATGAGAGTACTGTAACTGAGAAGCTGAGTTGTCAATGTTTCATTTTAATTAACATATTTAAATTGACGTGTGTGGCCAGTAACTGCTGTGTTGGACAGTGCAGCTGTACAGGTTGTTTTATCCTGAGAAGATTACCTGGCGATCATCTTCCCAACGGATGTCTAAAAATAGACTTTGTGGTCTGCTTGGGAGAAGTCAGTCACTGTGGACCAAAGTCCTTTCCAGCTATGCATTTCTGACTTGAAAATTAGGACTGTCTCTGGGTACAGGGAGCACCTGTGGATAAGAGTGGAGAGCCCAGATGGATGAGAAAGAATGAGGTCTCCAAACAGGCCTTCGCTGGTCAATAAGATGCTGTGTTCCCTTCCCAGCCACCTCCATCCTGAAGCGGCAGAAGCAGCTCCGGAGGAAGAAGGTCCGCTTTGACCAGGTGACCGTGTACTACTTCGCCCGGCGCCAGGGCTTCACCAGTGTGCCCAGCCAAGGCGGCAGCTCTTTGGGCATGGCCCAGCGTCATAACTCCGTGCGCAGCTACACGCTCTGTGAGTTTGCTCAAGAGCAGGAGGTGAACCATCGGGAGATTCTGCGTGAGCACCTGAAGGAAGAGAAACTGCACGCCAAGAAGATGAAGGTGCCTAGGGGATCTGGGGCCTGTGCTTTCCATGTGCCAGTATGAAGTGGGAAACCATCTAGCCTATTTATTATTATTTTCACACACAACTGTGTGTGTGTGTGTGTGTGTGTTTGTATTTATATTTATATTTATATTTATATTTATATTTATATTTATATTTATATTTATATTTATATTTATATTTTACTGTCGCCCTTCCTTGGCTTGTAGATTCCAGATCTTTCTAGTGAAAGGCTCAGACATGGATGGAATTAGATCTCAGTCTAAGACCCTTTTCGTGTCTGGTGGGGAGTCTACCAGAGATAGCAAAATGGCTTCTCTAGAATATCCTGCCCTTGCCAACCTCAGCAAATTTTTTAAAAAATATATATTTTTATTGATTTCAGAGTGGAAGAGATAAAAACATCAATGATGAGAGAGAATCGCTGATCACCTGCCTCCTGCATGCTCCCCACTGGAGATCAGGCCCACAACCCGGGCATGTGCCCTTGACTGGAATTGAACCCAGGACCCTTTGGTCCGTAGGCTGACACTTGCTCCACTGAGCCAAACAGGCTAGGGCAGCCAATTTTTTTAAAAAGGTTTAAAATGTGAATGAAGGCATTCAAGTTTGCCACCCCTAGGACCTGGGGAAGCAGTGTTTCAGTGCCTTATCAGATGAATATCTCCTGCACAGGGCAGGCTTGGGATCTTTTGTATTGTCTGAAAGGACCCTGCTGTTTCTGTAACCCCCATCACCTCTTTCAGGCAAAAGCAACAGCATTACCAAATGGTTATTTCAGTTTGCATAGCACTGTGCCTGCCACTGATGCTGCACCAGCTCAAGTATAGGAGGAGAGCAGGCCTGGAAGAAGGCCCATCTTAGATTGCTGCCTTAGCACTGCTGGGTACTCCACAGCCATAGTTTCCACCAGTCTGAAAAATGTGCCCCAGAGTTCCTGGTTCCACATTTGGAGAACACTGTTTCAGGCCTGGCCAAGTCTCTTGCGGACCTGTACTGACGTAGGCGGCTGCATGATTGCCAAGGCTGTGGGTGAAATCCTAAGGAGACACACTGCAGTGTGGTAGGGTTGGAGAACTGGTGGCAGCGGATGTAGGTTAATGGGATGTCATTGCTTTCTTCCTTTGAGAGTTCCATGTCTACTTTCCTCGGCCTGCTCCTAAAGCCGTACACCTGTTTTTCTGGCTAGAATGACATTCAGGCTTCCCTCTCTGTGTCTGAGGAATTCCATCACTGACACCATCACCTCCCTACTGCTATAGCAACAGCTGGGCAAATAAACACTGTTCTCATCATTTGCCATGAAGGCTTTCTCCCCTTTCCCCAAGAAGAATCCCTCTCCTAAATCTGGTAGAGGAATTATCTGTCAGAACATAACAGCCTATGGCCTCCCTAGTAGGAGGTCTAGAAATAAATTCAAGGCTTGAGGGATGGGGTTCCAACTTACTAGCAGATGTAGTGAACAGCAGCAATGATGGCATCTAATCCATCATTGTATCTCCCATATACCGTCTAATATTTATTTTGCTCTTGGGCTGCTACCAAAAAGAGAAAAAAGCTGCTGGTGCCTGGCCGGTGTGGTTGAGTTGTTTGAGGGTGGTCCTGTGCATGGAAAGGTTGCCCGTTTGATTCATAGTCAGGGCAGGTGCCCAGGTTGCAGATTCAGACCCCAGTCAGGGTGTGTATGGGCGCGGACTGGTTGATGTTTCTCTCCCTTCCTCTCTATCTAAAATTGTTGGTTTGTTTTATGCCTCGCTGCTTTATTTTTTTAAAATCTTTATTGTTCAGGTTATTACAGTTGTTCCTCTTTTTTCTCCCCCTTAGCTCGCCTCTACCCAGATCCCACCCCACCGTCCTCATCCATAGGTGTACGATTTTTATCCAGTCTCTTCCCAAACCCCCACATCTCTTTCCCCCTGAGAATTGTCAGTCCACTCCCTTTATGTGCCCCTGATTCTATTATATTCACCAGTTTATTCTGTTCATCAGATTTTTTATTCATTTGATTTTTAGATTCACTTGTTGATAGATATGTATTTGTTGTTCATAATTTTTATCTTTACCTTTTACTTCTTCCTCTTCTTAAAGAATACCTTTCAGCATTTCATCGAATACTGGTTTGTTGGCAGTGAACTCCTTTAGCCTTTTCTTGTCTGTGAAGCTCTTTATCTGACCTTCAATTCTGAATGATAGCTTTGCTGGGTAGAGTAATCTTGGTTGTAGATTCTTGCTATTCATCACTTTGAATATTTATTGCCACTCCCATCTGTCCTGCATAGTTTCTGTTGAGAAATCAGCTGACAGTCCTATGGGTGCTCGCTTGTAGGTAACTGTTTTTCTCTTGCTGCTTTTAATATTCTCTTTGTCTTTTGCTCTTGGCATTTTATTTTTTAAATATATTTTATTGATTTTTCTACAGAGAGGAAGGGAGAGGGACAGAGAGTTAGAAACATTGATAAGAGAGAAACATCAATCAACTGCCTCCTGTACACCCCCTACTGAGGATGTGCCTGCAACCAAGGTACATGCCCTTGACCGGAATCGAACCTGGGACCTTTCAGTCCACAGGTCGATGCTCTATTCACTGAGCCAAACCAGTTTCAGCAGTTCTTGGCATTTTAATGATGATGTGTCTTGGTGTGTTCCTCTTTGGATTCCTTTTGTTGGGGGTTCTTTGCACTTCCTGGACTTGTAAGTCTATTTCTTTCACCAGGTGGGGGAAGTTTTTGGTCATTATTTTTTCAAATAGGTTTTGAGTATCTTGCTCTCTCTCTTCTTCTGGCATCCCATAATTCTGATGTTGGTTTGCTTGAAGTTGTCCCAGAGGTTCCTTACACTATATTCATATTTTTGGATTCTTTTTGCTTTTTGCTTTTCTGTTTGGGTGTTTTTTTTTGCTTCTTTGTATTTCAGATATTTTACTTGGTTCTTGCGGTCCTCTAGTCTGCCGTTGGATCTCTGTATATTATTTTTTTATTTCAGTCAGTGAATGCTTAATTTCTAGATGGTCCTTTTTCATATCCTCGAGGGTCTCGCTAAATTTATTTGCTTTTTCTAAAAAATTATTTAAAAACCTTATAACTGTGGTTTTAAACTCTATATCCAGTCATTTGCTTTCCTCCATTTCTTTCATTTGTGATTTGTTTCTTTGTCTCTGTATTTTGGCTGCTTCCCTGTGTTGATAGAGTAGTTTTGTGTGCTAGGTGTCCTATAGGGCCCAGTGGCTCAGCTTCCCCAGTTTCCTAAGATAGACACTCTTGGTGCACCCCTTTGTGGGCTGTGTGCACAGTCTTGTTGTAGTTAAGCCTTGATTGTTGTTGGTATCACTAGGAAGAATTGACCTCCAATTAGCTGTGAGGATCAGCTGTGTCTATGCTGGGAGAACTTCTGTGCTAGAGATACCCTTATTAGGCAAGACTCACTTCAGTGGGACTTTGGTGCTCACTGAGTCTGTCCCTTGAACGTGTCCCTTATGGGTCTGAGGAGTTGAATCTGGATGGTTCCACTTTGAAAACCAAGACTGTACACTGGCTCTTGGATCTCCAAGGAGGTGCTAATTTAGCCTCTGCCTGAGGCTGCCCTGCAGGAGCTACTGAGAGATCTGCAGATTTATCTTCTTTGTTTGGGTTTGGAGGTGCCCAGATGAGGCCCAGCTGTGAAGCAATGCAAGCTGCTGTGGGGCCTTGGGCCTTCTTTTGGATGTTCTGAGTCTCACTGACTCAGATGCAGTTTGTTAGGTAAGATTACAATTCAAAGGACCAGGCTATTCATATGCAAAAGCCTCTGCCCCTAGCTTGGATGGGGTGGAGTCTCAGGGCAGAACACACAGCAGTGGCTTCCTGTCAGCTCTGTCCTAAGAGGCCCCTGGGTCTCAGAGTCCTGCGGTAATTGCTGCAAGCACCTCTGAGAGAAAGCTGCCCTCAAGTTTCAGCCGCTGCAAGACAGTCCAATTTTCCCCTGAATGAGTCTGGGTCTCCAGAGTCCTGCCCAGAACTGGAGTTCAGAGCAGTTGGAAGCTTTCGTCTCCCTCCCACTTCAGAAAGCCGGCCACGTACTTGGTTGCCAGCCCTCTCCTTGCACACCTCTGTACCTCTGCCTTCCACAGCTCCTGGGAGTCTCCGTGAGCTTTTCTCTTTCCTTCTGGTTGAAGAATTTCCACTCAGCCAGCCTCCCTGTGATTCTGGGTGATGTCCGTTTTGTCTTTTAGTTGTAGTTTTGAAATGGTTGTGCTAGGCAGCAATTTAGGTGTTTACCTATGCCGCCATCTTGGTTTCTCTCTCTAAAATCATTTTTAAAAAAAACACACAAAAACTGCGTTTCATCTGCAGCTTTAGTTACCAATAATTTTTTCTAATTCTTACATTACTTTTTTTTCTCTGCCTTTTATCCATATGGAACTCATTATTATGAATAGTATGAGTTGGGACTTTAACCTTATATTTTTTTCCAAAAGACTATTCCCTGTCCCAATACCATTTAATTATTAGAAGGCCCTTTGTCAGTGATAAGAAATGTTACCTCTGTCATGACATATTAAATTCTCACGTCTACATGGGTTTCTTCCTATTGCATCTGTAATCTCTTTCCTGGAGAGGATAGCAGGAGTGAGGGTGATTAGGAGGAAGACAGTGGTGAGACAGACAGGAGCAACCCCGGTACAGATAATAGACTAAGGAATCCTCCGAAGTACCACTTTCTCTCCTTATTTTTCCTGCCCGCAAACAAACAAACAAACAAACAGGTGCGTAGCTTATTGCCCAGGAGTGTTGCATCATATCTCTCCCGGGAGTTGTTCCTTTACCAGCACTGCTCTGTGCTGTCTGATGAAATAAGCCAAACTCTCCAGCAGTGTGGCTTTCATCCTGCTATTAGCTTCCAGAGCCCTGGGGATTGTGAGGCCTCGTTTTCTTTACTTGAATTCTCTAGTGAGTTTTCAAGTGCATCCAGCTATGGATTGTCTTTAACCTGCCCTTCCACTAAGATTCCCTTTTGTGGCTGGCTGTCCCTCTTACCCCAGAGAACCCAGCTCTGCTTGAATCACATATGCCACCCTACCTCACCTATAGCTTTTCTTTGAAATCAAGTAAAAAATGATTAGAAAGGAGAAAGCAAGGGTTTACAAGCCATTAATAGTTTGCTTATATTTTTCTCCTTCCAGTAAAATGCAACTCTCCTATGTATGAATAGATAAGTCCTCACATTGGGAATTCAGGTTCACTGACAAAGATCTGGTAGCCTTGTACTACACTTTAATGAAATTTACTGCCCAAAAGGTGGTTTTGAGTCCTTTTAGGGGGTGCAAATTGAAGGGTGTTTGCAAGCTTACCTCTACACCCAAGGAGCATCCAACTATTAATACACCACACGTGCTGTGGCTGCCATGTGAGCACGGTTGTTTCATTGCAGATCATGCTTCTGCAGAGGCTCCCTGCACGGAGGCTGGTGCTGGTGACGCTGCAGGCTAACCTCTCCTTCCTGTTTCTGGCAGCTGACCAAGAATGGGACAGTGGAATCCGTGGAGGCCGATGGCCTGACGCTGGACGATGTTTCCGATGAAGACATTGACGTGGAAAACGTGGAGGTGGACGATTACTTCTTCCTGCAGCCTCTGCCCACCAAACGGCGACGGGCCCTGCTGAGGGCTTCCGGGGTCCACCGCATCGATGCCGAAGAGAAGCAAGAGCTGCGAGCCATCCGCCTGTCGCGGGAGGAGTGTGGGTGTGATTGTCGGCTGTACTGTGATCCAGAAGCGTGTGCCTGTAGCCAAGCTGGGATTAAATGCCAGGTCAGTCCACGTCAGGCCTGAGGTGGTGTGCCTGCACTAGAGTCGGGTGTGCGGTGCGGGTGCCAGTGAACCTGGAAGGCTACCCATCAGAGGGTGGCTTCCCTGGGCCTGGACACTCCACAACCTCCTCCCCCAGCACGGAAACCAGCACGACAGGATTCAGGCTGCAGAGACAGCGGCCATCTTGTCTGTGTTTTATACCTTGGGGCTGATAAGCAGCTGTCGGCCAATGGAGGAACAGGGGTTAGTAAGTTTAATACTTAGTAGCCGTCTCCTAAATATTGATTGGTTAAAGGAAGCAGGAAAATGAGGTAGGCCTTTAGATTTTATCTTGCAAACACTATTCACAGGGCCTCCACTTCAGTTTTATAAAAATCAATAGTTCTTGGGTGCAGACCTTCAGGCTCACACTGGGCCTGGCAGAGCGTGAATGCCTAGTGTCCACAAAGGAAGCACATCCCCTCCATCGGGCCCATCGTCTCCCCGCTGGCCCGCTGATGGACGGCTTGGAAGACACATCTCAATGAAAACCAGCAGTCCCATCCCGAACGGTGTGTGGGACTTGTATACTGAGGGTGTGGCTGCTGAGTCCTCGTAGCTGAACTGCTGACCAGCCCTTTTCTCACATTTGGGTATCAAATAGCTGTAGTGGACCTAGCCAAACACTGCTTGTCAGACTGAAGTCCCATAATGAATCAGGCTATTATCCACAGACCTGAGGACAGTCCTGATAAGCAGACTGTTCCTAAGAACTGAAATGGAGAGTTCTCTAGGTTGACATCAGAGGAAGACATTGTGTATTTGTATATATCAGCTGACTCATGTTTTTAATTTTATTTTTGCTATTTCCCCCACCCCCACCCCCACCCCTTGGGGATCCAAAAGAGAGAAAAGGAAGTAGAAAGGATCTCCTTTCTAGATGGTCTTGTTCTGTAACTTAGTTGTCTTGGTAACTGCTCTAGAAACAAACTGATCGCCCTGACCGGTTCGGCTCAGTGAGTAGAGTGGCAGCCTTCAAACTGAAGGGTCCCAGGTTCGATTCTGGTTAAGGGCATGTACCTTGTTGTGGGCACATCCCCAATAGGGGATGTGCAGGAGGCAGCTTATTGATGTTTCTAACTATCCCTCTCCCTTCTCTGTAAAAAATCAATAGAATACATATTTTTAAAAAAGCAACGAACTGGTCAGCCATCAGGAAAGATGAAGCGGGCAACGAAAAGCTGGCTCCGTTACTGTGTTGGAGGCTGTTTTGCTTCGTTTCCCCAGAATGCATTTCTTTGGACTAGCTGGGACTTCTGCTCCTTCCGTGCTGTCATCAGAGGACAGGGGCCTTGGGCCCCAGCATTTTATTTTCTCAGTAAACCATGTTAGTTTGGAAAAGTCTTTGAGACACGTAAATTTCTTCTGTTCTGAGGCACGTTAGCATTCAGAGAGGCATCGCGGCACTTTTGAACTTGGAAGGGCCCTTTCATATAATATTTGTCTACTTCTTGTTTGAGAGAGAAGTGAGGCTGCACTGGAAATTAACTACCATCTGTGCTGTGCTAGCTCATGCTGCATCGTTTTGAATTGGCTGTTTTTTGTTTTTGTTTTTGTTTTTATACATTTTATTGATTTTTACAGAGAGGAAGGGAGAGGGATAGAGAGTTAGAAACATGGATGAGAGAGAAACATTCATCAACTGCCTTCTGTACGCCCCTTACTGGGGATTGAGCCCGCAACCACGCTGCACGATCTTGACCAGAATCGAACCCAGGACCCTTCAGTCCACTGGCTGACGCTCTATCCACTGAGCCAAACTGGTTAGGTCTCTTATGAGATCGCAAATGCCACCTGCTTGTTTTGCCAGCCGATGTTAAACTGACGGTCTCCTCTTGCCTCGATCTCCTTGTCCCCGCCTCAGGTGGATCGAATGTCCTTTCCATGTGGCTGCTCCCGGGATGGCTGCGGGAACATGGCGGGGCGCATTGAATTTAATCCAATCCGAGTTCGGACTCATTACCTCCACACCATCATGAAGCTGGAGCTGGAGAGCAAGCGGCAGGTGAGCCGCCCACCCGCCCCAGATGAGGAGCCCTTGCCCGCCGCCAGCTGCAGCCTGACCGGAGCCCAGGGCTCGGAGACACAGGACTTCCAGGAGTTCATTGCTGAGAACGAGACCGCGGTGATGCACCTCCAGAGTGCGGAGGAGCTGGAGCGGCTCAAGGCCGAGGAAGACTCCAGTGGCTCCAGTGCCAGCGTGGACTCCAGCGTGGAGAGCCTGGGCGTGTGCATCCTGGAGGAGCCCCTGGCTGTTCCTGAGGAGCTGTGCCCAGGCCTGACGGCGCCCATCCTCATCCAGGCTCAGCTGACCCCGGGCTCCTCCGTCCTATGTTTCGCTGAGAACGCGGACCACCCAACTGCCTCGGCAGCCACCAGCCCATCCTACTTGAACAGCGGGCCCCTGATCTATTACCAGGTGGAGCAGAGGCCAGTCCCCGGGGCCAACGGAGAGCCTGGTCCGGGAGAAGCCCCACCCTCCCTCCCCAAGGAGAAAGATCTCAACGTCTTCTCCGTCCCCGTTACCTCACTGGTGGCTTGTAGCCCCACAGACCCAGCCGTGTGCAAACCAGAGGCGGGGAAAGCCTCCGCCCTAGAAGCACTGGTGCCCGAAGCTTGTATCCCTGAGGAGCGGGAGAATGAAGACTCCCGCCCCTCGTGGTCCCCCTCCAGCCTCCCCTTCTGCACGGACGGTGCAGAGGGCTGTGCGGCAGAGAGGCCCTCACAGCCCGGCGAGGACCGGCCCCCCGAAGAGTCTTCCCTGGAGCTCCCTCTGGCAGTGTGATGTGGGGCTGGAGCTCTGCCTCCTACCCATTCTCTATTTATTCCCTATTTTACCTGACACCATTTCAGAACAAAACCAGAAGCAGCTGCTGCTCCCATGTTATTTTATTGGGGTCTTAGGGATGGGTGGGAGAGGATTGTTTATACAAGTATTTTTTAAAGGTAACAGAACCAAGGAGACCAGCCCCAGCTTGATCTGGGGACAGTCTCTGGGCAGAGAAGGCCACGTAATGCTGAATACCGAGTTATCTGGGCCATTGGATCTCAGAGGAGACACCAGGTAATTCAAGCAGCTCTTCTTTTCACAGGGGTCAGAATCCATCATTTGAACAGCACGGCAAAGCCCCTCTCCTAAGCTCCAGGCGGCTACACGCTCATTTTTCTCGGTGGTTACTCCGATAGCCCGTTTTGGTGTACTATACGGTCGGAAATGTCACCTGGAGAGGAGGGGAAGAAGGGCCTCCACTTGTGTACAAACCTCCAGGATTTTTAAAAATTGAACCTGCCTTCCCCAGCCCCCTACTTGGTAAATAAGTTAATATTTGACATGTTTGGTGTTCTCTGGCCTGTTCCCCACACTGGGGATTCCTGGGCTGTAACTTGAATTGTTTTTCTTTCTCATGTTCTTAGGTACTAGAGTTTAACTTGTCTGTCTCCCCTCCCCACCTCGCCCCCACCCCTTTGGGAGAAAGAGCTACATTGGCTGGGGATGTGGCTTAAAGAGCCCATGTCCTCTGCGTGCGTCTAGCACCAGCTGTCGGGCAGCTCCAGGCTGGCTCACGTGTTCCCTGGGAGGCCTGTGGAGCGCTCACTGTGTCCACGGGAGCAGCAGGAACAGTGCTGTCTGGAAGGATGAGGACTTCTTGCCATGCTTGCTTTCACCCAGGTGTCCTCCCCCCACCTCCCACCCCCCACGGGGAGATTGGAGCTGTAGAGGAATGTAGGATGTGGCATTCTAAGGTCACCAGGTTTGGTTTTGGTTTTCCTTCTATATCTACCCTTGGTGGTCCTTGGATATACAGGGTTGGAGAGTTCTTAACTATTCCAGTTCACTCCCAGGAACTGCAAATATTAGACCCCTCCATCTTGATATATGAAAATTAGAAATCAACCCATTCTTAAATGCTATATGTAACCCCCAGGTTCCAAAGAGCTAAAGTTCTGATGATAAAGCTGTGGGACTCATTCAGTTCTTGCCTCCATCTGAGGACGCCATTCCTTTTCCTCCCATACCCTCCTACGTTCCTGGATGTACTGCATTGACCACCACTGAATTCACTAGCAAAGTTATCACTGTCTCCGTTTTAAAATGGAGGCAGCAGGGAACAAAGCACGCAGGCATATTTCCACCATGCGTTGTTTCTGGTATGATTTATTAACCAGGAAAGAACAAAGTGAAAATGCTTTTGGTGGGGGAGATAACTATTCCTACCTATCTGGATCATAAAGCCTTCTCTGATATAGCCCTGGTGTCTTAAAGCAGCCTTCATGTATATCAGTAGCATTTTACCTGTAAAATTGCTAAACTGAGCCTGCTAGGCCTTGTACTTAACACAGATACATCTTATAACCCCTTCTTCCTCTCCTGTTCCTGCTTTTGCAGGGTTTGGAGGGAAGTTCTTGAGTATATAGGTCCTTAACACGCTCCATCCTCGAGCCTCACCAGGCAGAGTTGGGCATCTGAGGTACCTGAGAGCTAGATGCTGTCCCTGACTGAGCTGCTGCACTCCCTACCTGAGACTGGTCCCCTCAGATACAAGACTGAAGCTTTAATTGGGAATAGGACTCGATGGAGAAGAATCTTTCTGAAAGTGTGTTGAAAGTGGAGGGTGAGCGCTACACATTCCCTCCTTCGGAAGGATTCCTAATCCAGGAAGTGATTCCAGGTGCTCAATTAAGAGACACGTTATTAGCCTTTGGGATCAAAAGAATTTGACTATTAAACTCATTGCCAACCCCCAAAATAATGACTTTTCTGAAGAAACTAGTTTCTTAATCTAAACCCTACATTAACCCTGTAATTCTGATTCACACTGATCCCAAGCTTTTAAATGCTAAGTGTCGAAATTTAGCATTAACTCTCTTGTTAAGCAAAGGGCCTTTTCTACAATCTCGTCCATCTCACTTCTGGTGCTACTCGAGTTGGACACAATTAGAGCTCATGGTTGCTAGAAAAGCTAGGCCTCTGATCACAGAAGCAGATAGCTTCAACCCCACTCAGTCCAGGCCTAGATAAAAGAAATTACTTTTTATTGCAACGCATTCCTTTCTCACTGTATACAGGTAGTATTTTCAATGTGAATCCAAAGCTTGTCTGGTTCTCTGGAAACAAATTATTATTATTTTTTGCCTTTCAGGTCCTTTACATTGTGATAATGTTGTATTTAAAGAGAATATTTAAATGTAATATTAAAGAAATATTCAAAAGAATGTTGTGTTACTCTTGATCTTGGCAGACCACAACCCAGTTACTTGTTAGAAAAAGAATGCTTCTCGAGCCTGTATATAAAATTAATTAGGTCAGTTAGGGATTGTTAACAATAGAAGTGTTTTATGATGGGAAAACAACGTTCTCTTTGGAGTATCAAGAGCTTGACTTGCCTCATCTGTGTTTATGCCCCTCATCAGCTGAAACAGCCTGGATCCTGCCCTGCTAGGGCTTTCCCTGTCTGTAGTCCCTACTCTTGGGGCCTGGATTCTAATTTCATTGCTTGCTATTTGTATGTACAATCTTCTATTCCTAGTTAGCATTTAAAATCCAGCAACAGGATCAACTTCAAGTCAGTTCCTTCATAACCTCCATCCCATCAGAAAGTTCTGTTCCAACCAATTCTCTCCCCAATGTCCAGTTATGACAGTCTTGTAAAGGAGCCCTAGCAAAATGATTCGAGGATGCATAAGAGAATTTCCAGCAAGTGACTTCAGTCTTTACTTGGGTTTAAAGGCAGTGCTTCATGCATTTACAGCAAGTTACTGTACTACAGACCACTGATGTCCCTTCATAGACAAAAGCTGAACCCAACTTACTATCGCAGACCTCTCCTGGCTGGCTGGGGTTAGTACTGTACAGACTTGATCCATGGGCCAAAGGCAGCCGCTGTCAGTTGGTTGAATGGGTGCACCCCAGTGGAGGTAGCAAAGAGTTTAAGATCCACAGGTTGTGGCACAGCCCAGAAATTAAGACAAGGGTGTGAAGGCTATAAATACTGGGTAAGCAGTCAACAAGGACTTGTAGTTCCTTCTATCTTGTCCATTAGAATGTTCCCATGTTATTCACTAAAAATAAAGGTGGGAAAAGGAAAAGGAAAGAGGTTAACCCAATGAGGGGGACAAAAAAAAAAAAAAAATCCTATTTTTGGTCATCTCAAGGTTGAGGGGAGCATCAAAGTGCATGCAGTTTAAGTAGTGCTGTTCCCCTCAGCAGCCAGAAACAGCTCAAAATATGGCAGTGAGTAAGTCCTGGGCCAAAGCTCATCCCAGAGTCTGAAATTAACATATTCCAGTAACAGCCCAGTTCAGTAGCTGCTTCCAGTTTCAGTTAATTCCAACGAAGTGGGGATGACATCTCCCTAGGGCTACCTCTGGTGAGAGGGTTTGTTCAGCTCCAGCTCCCACGAGTGTACCGCACCGAAGCCGTGGCACCGCTCGTCTGCCGCACACATCCAGCAGTGCGCACAGGCTGCCCACAAGTGCTGTTTGGTCCCACGCTGCCACGCTGATGGCAGGGCAATGGCATCTGCTCCACGCTCACTCAGCGCCGTGTCCCAATGTAGTTGGTGGAAAGCAGGACCACGTTGTGTAGCAGAAGAGACAGCTCAGCTTCTGAAAACACCATCAATGTTAAAGGTTTGGCCAGGGGGCAGTTTGCCTTCTAACTGCCTTGGTTTACAGGACTTGAAATTGCAGGTGGGAAGCCAGTGCGGGGAATATGACGTTAAGGGGCTGTTGTTCTCAAGTTCCCCTTCTTCATTCCAGTGCCTGCATGTACACTTTTCCTTCCTTCCACCACATATCCTACCTACTCATCCTCATGTCTTCACTCTCCTGTGACAGCAGTAGAAAACACAGACAGCAATGGTACTGAACACCACTGCCACCCTTGGGATTCTCCTGGTAGAAGCTGGTGCTCTGGGGACAAGTCTCAGCTCGAAGGCGATTAGCAGGCCTACCGTCCCTCACATCACAGGCTTGAAAACATCAAGGCCTACCTCACCGAAGGTCCCAAACAGGGGACCCACCAGCTAATACCTACCCTTAGAAACTTTCTGTTTAGCCAGCTGAGTGGTTTTGTTTTTAATCTGAATTTAGACTAGCGCTTCTCCACTAGGACAATTTGGCTCTCCCTTCAAACTGGGACATCTGGCAATGTCTGGAGACATTTTGGGTTGTCAGAACTAGGGTGGCGGGTACTACTGGCATCTAGTGGGTAGAGGCCAGGAATACTGCTAAGCATCCTCTAATGCCCAGGACAGCCCTCATGATAAAGCTTCAGTAATGCCAAGGTTGAGAAACTGCGTTAGACAAGCATGTGCCCATGGTCGTGCCCTCACAATCCCCACGCTCAGTCCATCTTGCCTGGTCTTCTTCGTTACCTGCTTGTGGGCTAGTGAGTTTGTACCTTTCAATTAGACAAGTAGATAAGGGTCTCACAGTCCTCAATAATTAACTCCAAAATAATCTTAGAATAAAATACAAAATTAGTTGGATTTTGGTTATGCAATAGGGCTTTGTCTGACCTTTCAAGCTGCAGGAAATCTGCAGCCATTCTGCCAGCCAAGTTCGACACCTCTCGTCAGCAATATGGGTAGAATTCAAGCCACGAAGATAACAAGCCTGTAACACTCAGAAGAGAAATGGTCCTTAATAATCAAGAGTGAGCATGCCAAAGAAATATAAACATACAACCCCAAATCTCTTTCAAATTAAGTTACAATTGCATCCCAAGAGGGTGGCATTCTCCATGGCAATTTGAACTACGATGACAAGCAAAGAGGCCTACCTATATAATCTAAAACAGTAGGACTAGCCAAAACCTGTTTGGCTTAGTGGACAGAGCGTCAGCCTACAGACTGAAAGGTCCAGCGTTCAATTCCGGTCAAGGGCATGTACCTTGGTTGCGGGCATATCCCCAGTAGGGGGTGTGCAAGGGGCAGCTGATCGATGATTCTCTCTCATCGATGTTTCTAACTCTATCCCTCTCTTCCTCTTTGTAAAAAAAAATCAATAAAATATATATTTTTTTAAAAAATTAATCACGAGAGAAAATCATTGATCAGCTGCCTCATGCATGCCCCTCTACTGGGGATCAAGCCCACAACCCAGGCATGTGCCCTGACTGGAACTGAACCTGGGAGCCTTCAGTCCGCAGGCTGATGCTCTATCAACTGAGCCAAACTGGCTATGGCATTATCCTTGATTTTTGAAGGACCAAGAGAAAAGAAACATAAACCAGAATGACTATGGACAATTCCTTCGCAGTAGTTAAGTTCACTGAGAGGGAAGAAAAAGACCTAGAAATGAGAATAAAGAGCTTGGATTTTGCTAAAACAAGCAAGACAACAAGCTCTCTGTAAGCTCCCAGTCCTGAAAATTCCTAAGTCCACGAGGGTTGATATTGCAATGAAGCTCTTACCGATTTCACTTCCTGTTCAGTCAGCTGGTTAATCCCCAGCTTTGCCAAAGCCTTGTCTAGCTGATGAATCACTGTGGTATGAGTCTTTAAACGTCGTCTCAACAAGAAGGAAGGCAGGTGAGTTGTGAGAAGCATGGCTCGACTCAAGGCTTTCTGTGATAGTAACAACACAGCAGGAGCAAGTCAGTATAGTAGGATTACTGCAAGCAAAGCCCTGAAGTTGTAGAAAAGAGAAAGCCCACTCACTATTTGTGAAGCGTGGAGTTGACTCATGCCCAGGGGAGGTTTAGAGAAACACTTTCTCAGAGCCAGGATATCAGGTATTGCTGGGTGGGTACCACGCTGTATCTTGGGAGAGGAAAGAGATGGGTAGATGTTAACAACGTGCTGACTAGCCCTCCTACCTGGTTTTCATGCACGCTGGCTCTAACAAGATTACTAGTTTGGAACAAGGGTTAATTGGAGGAATACCTTGGTGCACAGCTCTGTCATATGCCACCGGAGTCCTTTTTCAGAAATGAGAGGGCTAACTTTTTCTAAATAACTAAGGATTTCTGGGTGGGACTTTTTCCGGATATCATGATAGATATTTAAGAAATCAATTTGTTGCTTTGGGGTCCAGAAATGTCTGACCAGCAGTTGCCTAGGAAACAGGTACCTGAAAGGAAGGGAATAACAAATTCACTTGCTGACACTGGCGTCTTTCAAAGTGAATAAAGAAAGCATTTGATAGACATGAATAATAAAAAGAGATGGAGAACTGCTTTGCTAACACACTGTCTCAGACCAAGGTTTAGGATACACTGAAACACCACTTCCAGCAGCATTACTGAGGTCCTGTGAAAGGAAGTAGTACTGGAAGAAGCAGCAATCAGATAAAATGACTCTTTTCGAACTAAAGCAAAGAACATATTTTGGACAGAATTTCGGAACTGGACATGGTATGAAATGTTGACAACCTCAAACAGTAACACAAAGTCCTTATGTGTATACAAAATAGAAAAGGCAAATTTGCTTTTAATTAATTTCTCCATCTGTGAGGTGGGTTTAAAACATGGTCATAGCCTTAGGTGTGGCTCAGTGCATAAAGCCTGTGGGCTGAATAGTCCTTGGTTTGATTCCGGTCAAGGTCACATGCTCGGGTTGGGGGCTCGATACCCAGTACAGGGGCAGCATGCAAGAGGCAGCCAATCAATTATTCTCTCTCATCATTGATGTTCCAATCTCTCTCTCCCCCTCTCCCTTTCTCTCTGAAATCAATAAAAATATTTTTTTTTAAATACAAAAAACATGGCCACAAATTCTCTGGCACTCCTCTTGAGAAATGCCCCTTTTTAATATCTAGGTAACTGACTCACCCAACAGAAGAGAGCAGAGTGAGTCTTCTCTTTCATAACCTCCAAGGCTGGGTTATAAAAGGCCATGCAGATCCTTAGTTGCTGACACACCACTCTTGGAGCCCTGAGCTGCCATGTGAGAAGCCCCACTTCCCTGAAGTCACCATTTTAGAGGCTACATGTAGGCGCTCAGTCTTCCAGCCACCTCTCGAACATTCGTGACACGTCCATTTACCAGCTAACTCACTGAGGGACCTCTGTTAACACCACATGGAAGAGAAATATCCATTCCTCACCTGAGCTCTGCTCTAATTCCTGACCCTCCAAATCGTAAAAATGGTGCTTGTTTTAAGCTATTAAGCTTTGAGGTTGTTTGGTATACAACAACAGATAACTAGAACAAGACACAAGGTTATAGTTTAAAAGTGTCATTTTTGGATATAAAGTAAAGTAATATGGATTTGTTATCAAAATATGAAATGCTTTTTTCTCTACAGCATCGGTTCTGAGAACCGCTAGCAGGGTTGCAACCCAAAGGTTGAGAACCGCTAGCAGGATCACCTAAGACCACCGGAAAACACAGATATTTACATTACAATTCATAACAGTAGCAAAATTAGTTACGAAGTAGCAACGAAAATAATTTTATGGTTGGGGGGTCACCACAACATGAGGAACTGTATTAAAGGGTCGTGGCATTAGGAAGGTTGAGAACCACTGGTCTAGACCATCTACACCAAGCATGTCAAACTGTGGCCCACAACGAATATTTTTGTGGCCCAGACAATGTAATGTAAGAAAAATTTTAGCCGAAACTGGTTTGGCTCCACGTTTCCAACTCTCTACTCTGTATCTCTCTCCCTTCCTCTCTGTAAAAAAAATCAATAATAAATATATATATATATATATATATCGATATAGATATATATAGATATATATATATAGATATATATATTTTAAATATATTTTATTGATTTTTTAATATATTGTATCTCTCTCCCTTCCTCTCTGTAAAAAAATCAATAATACATATATATATATATATATATATATATATATTATTTTTTTTATATATTTTATTGATTTTTTACGGAGAGGAAGGGAGAGAGATAGAGAGCTAGAAACACCAATGAGAGAGAAACATCGACCAGCTGCCTCCTGCACACCCCCTACCAGAGATGTGCCCGCAACCAACGTACATGCCCCTGACCAGAATCGAACCTGGGACCTTTCAGTCTGCAGACTGACGCTCTACCACTGAGCCAAACCGGTTTCGGCACAATAAAATATATATATATATTTTTAAAAGAAACATTTTAATAAAAATTTCATAACTTAATTTTTACAATATCCTGTTATAAATAATCCTACATAATAAAGAGGTAATATGCAAATTGTCCCTCACACCCTCACACAAGATGTCCACCCCCATGAGGCTAAAGATGGCTGGCAAGGGAAGGTAGTTGTGGGCAATCAGGCCGGCAGATGAGGGCATTTAGGGGTAACCTGGCCAGCAGGGGAGAACAGTTAGGGGTGACCAGACCTGCAGGGGAGGGCAATTGGGGGCGACCGGGCTTGCAGGGGAGGGCAGTTGGGGTGACTGAGCCAGCAGGAGAGGGCAGTTAAGGGCAACTGGGCCGGGAGAGGAGGGCAGTTGGGAGTGATCAGACTGGCAGACTGGCAGGGGAGCAGTTAGGCATTGATTCAGCTGGCAGGAGTGTGGTTAGGGGGTGATCAGGCTAGCAGGCAGGTGAGCAGTTGGAATCAGGCCTAAACCGGCAGTTGAACATCCCCCGAGGAGTCCCAGATCAGAGAGGGTGCAGGCTGGGCTGAGGGACACCCCCGTCCCAGTGCACAAATTTCGTGCTCTGGGCCTCTAGTTATTAATAACTATAACATTCGTTAATGACTGATTACTATAATCGTGTGGTATTTATTTCCCTTACGCACAGGCACACCATTTCTCTCCACTAATACTAGCGGCAAATATTTTAGCAGCCAATTGCCACGTCATTAGTCTTGTACTGACTTGTTTGTGCTCAACAGGAAATATTTTGCTTTCAGACAACAAGAAAAATAGGTTTATTTGCATTATGCTTATTAATTTGTACAGTTATTCAGTGTCTGGTAAGTTAATGTTCAATAAAAAAAGTAACTTTTATTTATTTATTTATTTATTAAATATATTTTATTGATTTTTCTACAGGGAGTAAGGGAGAGGGATAGAGAGCTAGAAACAATGAGAGAGAAGCATCGATCAGCTGCCTCCTGCACACCCCCAACTGGAGATGTGCCCACAACCATGGTACATGCCCTTGACCGGAATCGAACCTGGGACCTCAGTCCGCAGACTGACACTCTATTCACCAAGCCAAACTGGTTTTGGCAAAATAGTAACTTTTATTAAAATGTTCTATTGTTTTGTATTAACGATTACTCATGTATTTCAGCCCTTTGTATTCAGCATGTCTCTATTGAAATAAACCTACGTTACTATGAAAATTGTAGCTTTTGGTTTTTTTTGTGGCCCACAGAAACTTAAACCTTGATTATTTGGTCCAGGTTAGCCTTTGAGTTTGACATGCTTGACCTACAGCTACAGCTTTTTAAATAACCTACGTATTATTGAGTGGCTTTTATGAATCTTGGGCTAATGAATATATTAGAGCAGGAAATTTGATAACGGAAAGTTCTTCTTAAAATAATTTGTAATTTTGGAGAAATCTATATATCTTCAATATGCCAGGGAGACAGACGTCTATACTCACATTAGCAAGAAGACCAGGTAGTTGGCAAAGGGTGGGACGGAAATAACACCCAGAAAAAAACACTTGGTGATATCTCGACGAAACTAAGCAGAAATAAACACAGATGCAGTTTTAACCCACATTCTTAATACAATGGACAATCCCTCCATCCCACTGTGCAGTAAACCACTGCAGCCAGCAAAGGACCAAGATTATTTCTATCTACATGTAGTTGGTAAGTTCCTGGAGGACTGAGCCCTGATTGGCTGTTGTTTCCCAAATATTGTCTAGTGCAGGGACTGACGTTATACCAAATACCTCCGTGAATTCTTCCTGCTCTGCAGAACCGGTCCTAGATTCTTACTCAGCTCCAAAAGGACTCCAGTCACCACCAAATATTACTTTCCTGCTGCCTTTTAGATCCTTGCAAATTTTTCTATGTTCAGAAAAAAACTGACTTTTAGTGTTCACAATTTTTATTTAGGAAGTGCGCCCCAAATTCTACGGAGCTCTACTATGGAGAGCTATAACTCCGAAAAATCCAATTCTGACAAATAGTCTGATACTCTCATTTAGTTCAATACTTTAATCTCATAGCAAAGGGCTAAAGCTTGATCAGTGAGGAACAAAACAGAAAAGGAAATAACATGAGATCTTGGTTAATTTCAATGACCTCACCGCATATCCGTCCCTGGCCCATACCTGCCTCAGATGCTCCATATCCCGGTATGAAAGTTGATGAAACTTTACATTGTGCTTCGCCATGTCTGCCTTTATTCTTCTACACTTTTTGCCATCAGCCCATAACTGCCGAAATCCTGCCTCATTGAAGTAGAGGAGAGAGTGTGGTGTGAATCATACCACAGATTCCTTATCAAGTTTACCCACAGTACAGGAACTGTCCCTGCCCAACACTGCTCTACAGCAAAGCTTCCATCTAGGCCACTTGAAATTCTTGTGAGGCCAACCTACATCTCCTTTCTCATCCCCTTCCCCGCAGCACATCACTTCTGTTCTAGCCACGTGGGCCTTCTGTAATCTACTATGGAATGGTCTCCCTTTTCTGGTTTATCACTCATTCCTTTTTTTAAAAATATATTTTATTGATTTTTCACAGAGAGGAAGAGAGAGGGATAAAGAGTTGGAAACACTGATCAGCTGCCTCCTGCACACCCCCTACTGGGGATGTGCCCGCAACCAAGGTACATGCCCTTGACTGGAATCGAACCTGGGACCTTTCAGTCCGCAGGCCAACACTCTATCCACTGAGCCAAACTGGTTTTGGCTCATTTCTTTTTTAAAAATCCTCACCAGAGGATTTTTTTCCATTGAATTTTTTTTTAAAATGTATTTTTATTGATTTCAGAAAGGAAGGAAAAGGGAGAGAAAGAAATAGAAACATCAGCCAAAACCGGTTTGGCTCAATGGATAGAGAGTCGGCTTGGGGACTGAAGGGACCCGGGTTCGATTCTGGTCAAGGGCATGAACCTTGGTTGCCGGCATATCCCCAGTAGGGGGTGTACAAGAGGCAGCGGATCGATGACACTCTCTCATCGATGTTTCTAGCTCTCTATCTCTCTCCCTTCCTCTCTGTACAAAATCAATAAAAAATATATTTAAAAAAAAATAGAAACATCAATGATTAGAGAACCATTGATTAGCTGCCTCCTGCACACCCCTCCTGGGGATTGAGCCTACAAGCTGGGCACGTGCCCTTGACTAGAATTGAACCCGGGACCTTTCAGTTCGCAGGCTGACACTATCCACTGAGCCAAACCATTTAGGGCTCTAATGATTTTTAAATTGTGTTTTTCCCCCCACTGATTTTTAGAGAGTGGAAGGGAGGGAGGAAAGAGGAGTGAGGGAGAGGGAAGAGAGGAAGGGAAAAAGAGAAAGATGGACATGAGAGACACATCGATTGCTTGCCCATGTATGTGCCCTTGACCAGAATCAAATGCTTGGCCCTTTAGCGTGTGGGCCACTGTAACCGTTGAGAATATTGGTCAGGGCGTCATTCCTTTTTTAAAATAAAAATTCAGGGGGACGAGGGCAGGCTGGAGAGGGTCAATGGGGGGGAAAGAGGTACATATGTAATACTTTCAACAGTATTAAAAAATAAATATAAAAATTCACCCTGGCTGAATGGCTCAACTGATTTAGAATATCAGCCTGTACACCAAAAGGTTGTGGGTTTGACTTCCAGTCAGACACATACCGAGGCTGCGGATCAATCCGGTTGGAGCTCCTAAGGTAGGCAAGTGATTATGTTTCTTTCTCTCCCTCCCTCTCTCTCTAAAAAACCAATAAAAACATACGCTCCGGTGAGAATTTAGAACATAAAATTCAAACCTCCCTAACCTCGGGAAGTCTTGCCCAATCAACCCTACATATTTCCTAACGAAATATGTAGGGTTGATTATTTAGGGTTGATTTATCTCTTTTCTAGAACATTTATATGTTACTGTAATTCAACATATTTCTATGATTGCATTTTTCTCTTCATTACATAATTCTTACATTTATCTAAAATTTTAGTTTTTGAAAATGCTTTCCTATTTATGAATGAAATGATAGAATGTCTAGGTTGGCTTCAAAATAATACAGGAGAAGGCATGGTTAGAAATGAAATAAGACTGGAGGCCGTGAATTAATTGCTGAAGTGAGGTTGAGTACACAGGAGTTCATTATATTATCTTCTCTACTTTTGGGTAAGTTTAAATTTTTCCATAATAAAAGACTTAACAACAAATCAACCAGAATGCTTTCACACCCTTTTCTATTTGATCCTAGTTATAAACTGGAAACAGAAAAAGCAGCCATTTTTATCTCCACTTTACAAATACAGATAAGCAATTTGCTAGTAATAATTATGATACTATTCAGAGCTGACAAAGTGGCAGTTTATTGTAATGGTATTATGACAAAAGTATAGAGTATAATAACAGTTATAGTACCTTTATTGAGCACTTACTAAGAATCAGGCCTTAAGTACTTTACATGTATTAATCTAATCTTCACAACCATGTGGTCAACAGGTAGGTTCCATTCTTATCCCCAATTTACAGACAGCCCGGCCCGTGTGGGTCATGGTTGAGCGTGGACCTATGACCCAGGAGGTTGCAGTTGGAGTCCCGGTCAAGGGCACATGCTCAGGTTTGTCTAGGTCCCCAGTGTGGGCATACAGGAGGAAGCCAATCAATGATTCTCTCTCATTGATGTTTCTGTCTCTCTCTCCCTCTCCTTTCCTCTCAGAAATCAATAAAAATATATACTAAAAACTTGCCGAAACCGGTTTGGCTCAGTGGATAGAGCGTCGGTCTGCGGACTGAATGGTGGGGGGGGTGCAGGAGGCAGCTGGTCGAAGTTTCTCTCTCATCGACGTTTCTAGCTCTCTATCCCTCTCCCTTCCTCTCTGTGAAAATCAATACAATGTATTAAGATATATATATATATATATATATATATATATATATATATATATATATACACATACACATACATATACACACACACACTAAAAACCAAACAAAAAACACACTGCCCTTTGGTCCAATCAGCCAGTGGCAAGCTGGCTCTAGAGTGGACAGCTGACTCTATACCATCTCCTAGTAACTAGCAGAGCTCTGACCAGATCAAAACATTCAGAAACCAAGTACTATAGCACTATTTCCACAACCTGCTACCTAGGATAGATGTGTAAAAAGCATTAAACCACATTTTCTTTTTGGCCAAGTCAACTGGTAAACCAAAGGGAAGGCTTGTGCAGCCATAGATCCCTGCCCTTATGCATGCTACAGTCAAGTGTGCGGTTAAAAAGCACAAAAATAGCCGAGACCGGTTTGGCTCAATGGATAGAGTGTCGGCTTGGGGACTGAAGGGTCCCAGGTTCAATTCCGGTCAAGGGCATGTACCTTGGTTGCAGGCACATTCCCAGTGGGGTGTGTGCAAGAGGCAGCTGATCCGATGACTCTCTCTCATCGATGTTTCTAACTCTCTATCTCTCTCCTCTCTGTAAAAAATCAATAAAATTAAATTTAAAAAAAAGCACAAAAATATCTACATTCCCTCTGGATATTGTTAGAAGGTGTTTCTAATAAAACCTTTCTAGAAACATCCTCAAGAAGTGCTAACTTATAAAACCAAGTTGAATACTCAAGCATTTATGCAACATAAGTCATCCCAGCTCACTCTCCCACAGCAAAACCTGCAAATTGTCTCACTGATGCTCACCCTCTGACAATGCCCGAGAGCAGATTCTAATGACTCCCATTTCAGCGTTGTTTTTACCTTTAGTGAAGGTGGTGTACAGGACATAGAAGCGGGGGAAATAGCGTTCCAAAAAATGATGGTATTTCTCACTGATCATTTTGGTCTTAGTCGCCACGTAAGAGATTAAACTCTTCGAATCTGCCTTTGGAGAAAGGTGAAGCTTGGAAGACCTACAAGGAGGATCAGAGAGACTATCTGGGAGTCAGTCCAGAACGCCCCCGTCCTGCGGTCCCACACGGGCCTCCGAGAAGGTGTGCTAAGACCCGAAACCTCCGACACACAAGGAATATCCTGGGATCAAGAGACAAGCAATCAGATGAGAAAAAAACAATGAGGCGGAGGAGAGGTGGGCAGGTAGGAAAGGATGGGGGGGGGGGGGGGGGCGGCAGGAGACTGGTGAGAGACGACACCTGAGGCCGGAGCGGCAGGAGGAGCCAGAGATGGGGTCCAGGGGAACCCCGGTAAAACCTGAGCGGAGACCGGGCGCTGAAAGCCGAACTCACAGTGCGCTGGGATCCAGGCTATAGGGGGCACTCAGCGTTGAAAGGATCAAGAAGCTAAGCCACTAGCGGGGATCGGGGTGCGACTTCTGAGCAAAATAACAAAAACCCCCAGGTCAGGGCGTGCAACTCTGACCACCAAGAGACAGCATGCATGCATGCAAGCAAGAAGACACTGGAGGGGCCTGGGCATCGGAGATGCTGCTTTCTCCAGGTCCCTCACCAGGGGGGTCCCCACGTCCGTCCAGCGCGAACGAGCTGCAGCCTCCGCGTGACATATGGTCGAGGGGTGACCGCCGAACCCCACAGAGCAGTCCGAGCCCAGCACAGCCTGGACAGCGCCATCTTCTCGGCGAGGGAGGGGGAGGAAGGGTCTCCTCCAGGTCAAGGGTCACCGTAATGCGGGTCCCTGTGACGACGCATGCGCCTTTCTTGAGCCCTGATTGGCCACCACGGAGCGCTCGCCTCGCGCTAACCCGGCACGGAACGCGCCCTGAAGCCGGAGCGCGGAGGCAGGGCTGCGATTGGACGCCGCCGGCACTTCCGGCTTTCAGGACGCCGGAAGCAGGCTGGCCCCGAAGGAGCGAGTGCTTCTGCCCGTGGTAGGGGCTGTGATCTTGAGGACGTCCTCTCGCTGAGTGACCCTCTCGATTCCCTAGGGCCGCCGTTGCCCTCTGTCCGACTCTCCCGCATCGGCGCCTGAACGCGGTAGGTGCCAGAGGTCCGTTTGGCAATGTCCGCGGCCGCGGCGCCTCCTGGGTGCTGGGAGGCCCCCTGGCGCCCTCTCGTGGCGGCGGCGGGACGAGGCCGGGAACCATCCACGGCCAGTGAACAGTCGGTGGCAAAGGTCGGAGCCTGGGAGCGGATCCGGGCGAACTTAGTCCGGTTTTCCTTTGCTCTGCGTTCCCCAAGTTCGGCGGGAAATGCCTTTCGTTAAGCGCCTCCTGCACACCAGGCCCGGCTCTCAATTTGAGAGTCATTTTTCTTCTGAAAGTTTTTCTCTGACCAAAGGACACACATTTTCTCCTATCATCCTGTGTATGATATATATATATATATATATATATATATATATATATATGTGTATATATATGTATATGTGTGTGTGTGTATAAATATATATATATATAGTACTTACCACTTGCATCGTTTGTTTTGTTTCCTTGTTTGGCAGGCTCCCTAACTAGGCTGAGGGCAAGTGTTTTGTCTCACTCCCTGCTATATACCCTAATGAATGTTAAACAAATTAATTAATAGCCGAAACCAGTTTGGCTCAGTGGATAGAGCATCGGTCTGCGGACTGAAGGGTCCCAGGTTCGATTCCGGACAAGAGCATGTACATTGGTTGCGGGCACATCCCCAGTGGAGGGTGTGCAAGAGGCAGCTGATCAATGTTTCTCTCTCATCGATGTTTCTAGCTCTCTATCCCTTTCCCTTACTCCCTGTAAAAAATCAATAAAATATATTTTTGTAAAAACAAATTAATTAATAACTGAAGCTGGGAAGGATTCCCAGAAGTGGCACTTGGCTGCCTCCAACAGTTAAGACCTCCTGAATACATATGAATACGTATGAAACATGGGTTTATAGTTGCTAGTATGGAAAATAACACAATAATGAATAGTAATACAAGAATAAACGCGGGTTTCTGCAGTAGGCAGTTAGACATGGTCAGGGCAAGGATGATGGGCCAGGTACAGAAGGTCGTCAGGTGGAAAAGCCCCAGATGCCCACTGGAAACATCCATTCGTGTAATTGCCAGAGTTTGGTGGGGGGGGGGGGGGGGGAGAGAAAGGAGAGGAGGGGCTTTCAACTTCCTCTGACCCTAAGGATAAGGTCAGACTCCTTAACCCGGCCTCCCTTCCCGGCCTCACTCCTGCCTCATGGTAGCTTTCTCCCTTGGCTCTCCGTGCTAAGGAACATTGGCCTTTCCGTTCCGCCAAAGGCCCCGCAGGCCACTCCGCCCCCGGCTTTTGCACCTGTTGCTCTTTGCTTGGCGTGTTTTCCCTCCCTTCCAGCTTGTCTTTCAGGCTCCAGCTGAAATGGGGGTAATCAAAGCTAACACTTCCTGAGCAGACACTACTGCCATCATTTTTCTTAGGGCTCTACTGTATGAAGTCACTTAATCCTCACTTAACTTCATTAGGTAGATGCTATTGTTAGCTCCATTCTCTAAGTGAGGTTAAGTAATCAGTATTTGAGTCAGCAGTTGAAACCGGACAGACCGGGCACATGAATTACTGCTGTGTGTATATAAACATCACTGTTACAGGAAACTCTTTCCTAAGCCCACAGAGTTAGGTTTCCCTGTTATTCATCTTGTAGCTAGCTATGATTATCCTTCATAGCACTTAACCTGTTAATGGGACGTATAAATACGTCAAACGTAAACAATATCGGGTACGGGTAGGACATATGAATACGTCCTTGAAATATATGTTGCGCCCTCAAACAAGTGGGACGTATATTTCCGAACAACAAAGGTATTAGTCATCCGGGCATGTCTGGACATGAATTTAAGACACGGAGGGAATCAGTATATTATAATTTCGATAATTTCGCTATTGAGAGTGGTGGACGTGTTCTGGGTGAGCAGTGACGGGTACGTACTTACACTTACCTACCTATCTTCGTATTATATATTATTTACTTATATTTTTATATCTCCAACCTTTTTATTTTAGAATACATTTTTATATAAGTATTTATCAAAATGAATGAAAGCGATATCAGCGATGACAAAGTCAATGTACCAGCAGGTACAAAAAGGAGAGGTACTATGAGTTCGTCATCGGAGTCATCTGACAGTAATTGTGACTACGACACAGAACTGAGCGATACTGAGAATGAAGATGGTGAAGAAGTTGATGAAGTTGGTCCTAGCAACAGCATTGTTTCTGAAGAATGGCTACCTCAAAAGGCAGAAAGGCCACCATTTCCCTTCACTGCACATCCTGGAAAAACTTTCAATACTCCTCCAAAAAAAGTTCCTTTGTTTTATCTTGAGAAGTTTTTGGATGAGGAACTTATCAAGTTAATTACAGAGCAAACAAATTTGTACGCCACCCAATTTTTTGATAATGATCCTGAGTTGAAACCACGTTCGGGAATTCGAAAATGGAAGGATACAAATGAAGCTGAAATGAAGATTTTTTGGGGGCTCCTAATTTTACAAGGAATAATTGGAAAACCGGCTTTGGAACTTTATTTTTCAAGAAGAAGAATAATTGAAACACCATTTTTCTATGAAACTATGAGTGAAAGCAGGTTTGCATTATTATGTAAGTTTTTGCATTTTGCAGACAATCTAAGTTTTGATCCTAACACATCTAATAGAAAAACATATAAAATTAATCCAATCATCAATAATTTGTCAGAAAAGTTTAGAAGTTTTTATGTATGTAAACGAGAAATATGTGTAGATAAATCTCTTTTATTATGGAAAGGGAATTTATCTTGGAAGCAATATATATCTACAAAAAGAGCTAGATTTGGAATGAAGTTGTTTATTTTGAGTGAAAGCCAATCTGGATACATACAAAATATAATTTTATACACAGGCAAGGACACAAATTATGGTTCAAACTACCCACAAGAAAAACAATCAACAAGAATTTTTTGGAGTTAACATATGACTTACTGAATAAAGGGTATAGGATTTACTTAGATATATTTCTATACATCAATTCATTTGGCTGAACTCCTGTGTCAAAACAATACAGACATTGTTGGAACAATGAGGATAAACAGAGTCAGAATCCCCAGTGAAATAAAAACAAAAAAATTACAGAAAAATGAACATATAGTAAGATTCAAAGACAAACTTATGATTTTAAAATGGAAGGATAAAAAAGACGTATTGATGCTCAGTTCTATTCATAATGACGAAAAGACAATGATTGAAAAGAGGAAGAAGGCAAGAAAAACCTAATGTTCTGGGTTATAACAAGAATATGGGCGGCGTAGATTTGGGAAATGGAGTTATGGTGGCCTACACGGCTGCCTGTAATAGGGTAAAAAAATTTTATAAAAAAATTTTTCTATGATTAATTGATATGTGCTGCTTCAATGCATATATTATATACAAAAAAGATAAAGGTCAGTTGGATCAATTACACTTTTTGATAGAGTGTGTAGAGAAATTGGTAGATAACAACATAGTGAAAAGCCGCCCAAACACATCAACAAACAGCTCTACATCTAAACCATCACGCTTAGTTAAAAGGCATTTTCCAGAACAAATGAAAAGCGATATAGGAAAAACTAAATCCAGGAAATGCCGAGTTTGCTACAAAAAATGTTTTAGGAAAGAATCTACATACTGGTGTCCGGATTGTGAGGTAGCACTATGTGTCAACAATTGCTTTAAAATATATCACACGGAAGTTGAGTTTTGAATTTTTACATCTATATTTCAATTTTTTAAACTCAATATTTCTATTTTATTTGTGTTCTTTTGTTTATTGTTCTGCAGTTGTTACTTTTATTTATTGTGTATCGAAATAAAAAATATTTTTGTTATCTTTATAATTGTAAAATTTATAATTTTTTAATTCTATGTTTCCATTTTTTTGTTGGTATTCTTTTCTATTTGTTTGTAATTTTGTATTTTCCTTTGTGCTTTACATATAAATAAACGAAAAAATATATATTTCATAGTCTTTTCATTTATTTTAAGTATAAATAAAAAATAATAATAATATGAAATTATGTCCACCGGGCGTGACGTACTGACACGACCTAGTGAAAGAGCATGTGCCCGTTGTAAGTTGCAAAATTGAAAAGGGAACTCCCGGGTTAACAGGGTAAAATAATTAACTACAGCATTATGCTCTTAATGACTGTTCCCCATTTGATTCTAAACTCACTGCATTTATGGTCCCTATTTCAGCCCCTGGCCCAGAAGGTGCTTATTATAGTATTTATTAACCGAATACATATACCTGAGTATAAAGTAAAGTTTTTCCTCTCAAAATAATTCTTTTGAGCCCAGCCGGCATGGGTCAGTGGTTGAGCATCAACCTATGAACCAGGAGGTCACAGTCAGGCACATGCCCGCGGTGCAGGCTTGATCCCCAGTGTGGGGCGCGCAGGAGGCAGCCAATCCATGATTTTCTCTCATCATTGTTGTTTCTTTCTCTCTCCCTTTCCCTTCCTCTCTCTGAATGCAATAAAGTTACATTTAAAAAATAACAATTCTGTTGAAAGGAAGTTGCTTTATATGTTGTGTTCTTTTATTCACTAATAATTTATTCACTAATTCCACAATTATTGAGCATCTCCCCAGGCCAGGCATTGTTTTTGTTGCTCGAGATAAGTCAGAGATTAGACACAGTACTGCCCTACCTGTGTGGTGTGCTCAGCAGTTGAGCATCGACCTATAAACCAGGAGGTTACAGTTCGATTCCCAGTCAGGGCACATGCCTGGGTTTTGAACCATCTCTAGTTGGAGAAGTGCAGGAGGCAGCTGATCAGCAGTTCTCATCATTGATGTATCTCTCTCCCTCGTCCTTCCTCTCTGAAATCAATAAAAACTATTTTTTTAAAAAAATAGGCCCTGGTCAGGCAGTTAGCACATCGTGCTGATACACCAAGCTTGTGAGTTTATCCCGTTAGAGCACATACAAAAACCAATCAATAAATGCATAACTAAGTGGAACAACAGATTAATGTTTCTCTTACCTATCCTCCCTTCCTCTCTCTCAAATCAATTAAATCTTAAAAAATGAAAAGAAGATTACAACCCTACCTGTGTAGTTTACATTATACAATGTTTGAGAGATTGGAATACCAGAGTGAGGTGGTATTCTGGGGCCTCATGTGAAGATTAGATTTGTTTGAGGACCTCAGGTTTAAAGAGTAAAGATTTGAATTTGATTTAAAAGGTCCTAGGGGCCCTAGCTGATTTGGCTCAGTGGTTTCAGCCCCTCACTGCACCGGAGAGCTAGGCAAGCTGCTGGAATGGGCAAGAGGGAACACTCCACAGAACGTGTGTCTTCCTGGCCCGGGCACCCTGGTCAAGTATTGATTGAAACCCGAAACGATGTTTAAAGTGATGCATGCAACAGCGTCTGTGGACAACAAAACGACAGGAACGCGTGCTAGTTCAGGTTAGATTGTAATCCTCTGAAGCACAGGGTAGCCAAGAAGCAAAATTCCCTTTGGGGACAACCACCCAGTTTCTACAAAAGAGAGAGGAGGAAAGTAAATGACACGATTTGCATTTCTGACCGGAAGACTCGATGAAATGAGAGCCGTGGTCATACACATTCACATGACTTTTCAAGTCTGCCTTGTGTACAGTCGTTACGATGACCAGGTTGGTCCTGCAAAAGAGCCAGCATGAACCGGCTACTGCTCTGATTGTTCTCAGATGAACGTTTAAACAAAATAATATCTTCGTTTAGTTTATAAACATACACAGTGCTGTCCCTTTTGAATTAAGGAGAGGAAAAAAACCCCCACACACAAATACTGCAATGTAGCAAAATACAAGGAGAAAAAGGCTACTTTTGGTTTGGCAACATTTAAAAAAATAAATATATATATATATATATATATATATATATATATATATAGAGAGAGAGAGAGAGAGAGAGAGAGAGAGAGAGAGAGAAGAGAAGAGAGAGCGAGCAATGTGGCATTGGTCCCTATTTGTTTTTTTTTTTTTTTTTAAAAAGGTACTTGGGCACGAAACTGAATCAGAATTGGTTGGTTTCCTAAAATTCAGAGTATCTTGGATTTTAAAAGTAGCACTTTTGTCTTTTCAAAGTTCAACAAGTCACATATAACACTTAAAACATTAAAAAAAAAAAAAAAAAAAAGCTTTCTGACAAAAAGCTCAGCTTTAAGTCACATTTCTGCGAACCTGGGAGACGAAGTGCGTTCTGACGGGAAGGCGGCCCATCGCTGGTTGACACACTGAAATGAATGTCTCCGAATGGCAGTGCCTCCTCGCCCTCCCGGGACCACGCTGACCACCAGCTTCAGGACCGAGGTCTTGCTCCCATGGGGGGGGGGGGGGGGGACCTTCAGGTGGCTGTCTCCGCTCTCTGCTGTCCTATCTCGGAAATGCGCTCATCCTGGTTGCAGATTGTGTCTTCTATGGATCTGATCTCTTTTATTATAAAATCTCATCCAGCTTGGCTTCACTTTGCACACAGGTCGTGTCTGCGGTGTTCTTGGGGACATTGATCGGGTCACACTTCTTGTTCGCAGTGGGCTTGCTATCCAGAATGTTCTTCACCACCTGGAAGTCCCGGTTTTTGCCCGGGCTGTATCCGTGCTTCAAGGAGATGAGGATTGGATCTACTTTCTTCCCCTCCAACCACTCCTGCCCCCAGCGTGGCTCCGGGCCCCGCCGCCTCAGGGTCAGGTCATCCTGGAAAAGGTCTGACTTCCTGGGAACAGTCATGGCAGTAGGTTCACACTTTCTCTCCTGAAGTGTAAAGAATCTGGCAATCTCACATGTGTTCACGTCGAGTCCCCTCTTGGGCATGTAACCCACCCCGCTCTGAGGCTCCTTGCTGCTGACTGAGTTGAGGTAGTTAGCGGACATACCGGGATTCATCTGTGATCTCAAAATAGCGGATGCTGCTGTCACCCTTTCCACATCCGGTAAGTAAATGACACTGGCGTCAGGGTCATAGAAATGCAGCAACACCCCATTGCTAGTGTCCATTTCATAAAGCGCAATTGGTTCCTGCATGTTTTTTGGGTTCCAGAGGGCCAGCTGCCGCTCGCTCAGGCGGCTGAAACCTGTGGTGAAGACATTGCTGTCAGCCAGAAAGAGGGCTCTGGTGGGTTGTGCTCCTTCGTGCACTTTCTCCTCAGCAACGATCTCTTGTTTCCTGGGATCGATTACTCTCACTTTCTCATCTTTGGAAGCCAGGCAGATGAGACTGCCATTCCGGTTCCGGCTTACCTTGCAAGTCATGTCCGAGTGCATATCCAAGTTGATCAGGGCTTCCCCCGCCCCCACGCTCCATAGGATGATGGCATTATCACAGCCTGCACCGAGAAGCACGTCACGGGCTGTTGGGTACCAGGCTACGATGCCAACTCTCTTTACGTGGCCTTCTAAAATCACCACAGGTTCCGTCAGGGAACGGGTGAGTCCACTTTCTGGAATCTGCCGCATCATAACTGTGCAGTCCTCTGAACCGCTGGCAATGACCTGATTGTTATGGGGGCACCAATCTATGTCAAGCACTGGCCCTGCCGAAACCGGTTTGGCTCAGCGGTAGAGCGTTGGTCTGCGGACTGAAAGGTCCCAGGTTTGATTCTGGTCAAGGGCATGTACGTCGGTTGCAGGCACATCCCTGGTGGGGAGTGTGCAGGAGGCAGCTGGTTGATGTTTCTCTCTCATCAACGTTTCTATTTTTTTTTTTTAATTATTATCTGTGTATCTGTGTTGATCTCTTATCTCCCCCAGATCTCCCTCCCCTCCCCTCTGTAATTTGACAGTCTGCTTGTTGCTTTACTGTCTCTATATCTATCTTTTGGTTCATCAGTTTATAATGTTCTTTATTATCCATAAATGAGTGAGGTCATGTGGTATTTCTCTTTCATTGACTGGCCTATTTCACTCAGCATGATGTTCTATCCAGGTTGCTGCAAATGATGAGAATTCCTTTTTTATGGCAGCATAATATTCTATTGTGTATTAATAGATGTACCATAGTTTTTTTTATTTTTTATTTTTATTAAATTACTATCTGTGTACATATTTTAACATTGCCCCCTCTCCCACACATACCCACCCTCCTCAGAGTTTTGTGTCCATTGGTTGTATTTATATGCATGTATACAAGTCCTTCGGTTGATCTCTTATCTCCCCCAGATGTACCATAGTTTTTTGATCCAATCATATGCTGATAGGCTATTTCCAGATTCTAGCTATTGTAGATTGTGCTGCTATGACCATAGGGGTGCATATATCCTTTCTGATTGGTGTTTCTAGTTTCTTGGGATATATTCCTAGGAGTCATCAATGTTTCTAGCTTTCTATCCCTCTCCCTTCCATCCCTCTCCCTTTCTATCCCTCTCTGTGGAAAATCAATAAAATAAAAAAATAAAAAATAAAAAAAGCACCTGTCCTGTGTGGCCACATACTGCAGGGCAGGATTTGTCAATTCGACCAGTCTTGTGCAAAGGGAACACGAGGAACGCACCTCCCCCACTTGCTCCAATGATTGTGGAGACAAATCTGGGATTGACAGCGCAAAAGGAACCATCCCAGGTCACTGGAGAAACACGGATGTCATCATAACACTGGCCATTTTTTACTGCTTGTCCAAATTCATGCCGAAACTTGCTCTGTCGTACCCCTCGCCTCATCGTGTCAGGGCCGAGGTGCCTGAGGCGGCGCCGCCGCCACCGAAGTCCCCACTGCAAAGCCCCTCGAAGCTTCCAGCCGCTGTCGCCTCCCGCCTGGCACTCATCAGTCCACTTTAATACTTTGCACATATAGTATTTACAGGGTGTCCCCCAAAAATGTTTACACACTCTGAGTAATTGTATATTCCAGTGTTTATGTCTGAAAAGAAAGAAACATCAATTAAGCTAGCAGATGTTAAAGTGTGTATACATTTATACGCTGTATTTGAGCGTCTCTGTAACCATTTATTATATATTTGTGCATACGTAAGTAGTATGTAGTATTTCCTAATGTTTTAAACATTCCGGTGCACTCTGCCTCCCGGAGCAGGTCTGGGCCTTTCTCTTCCTCTTCTCCTCCAACAGCCATGCCTCTCCTAGACTCGGAGGGTCCCATGAGATTTACAACCAGGGGAACACTGCGTAGTGGCAGCTCCTCCTGGGCTAACCCCTGACCCTGTCACCACGGCTCCCTTTTCTCTGATTTCCCAGTGAGCTCACAGCAGTCTCGCCTTGGCATGTTTCTTCCCCATAATGTTCCTAGAAAGCCAAAGCAGCCTGCCCTACTCTCTCTCCTGTTGCTTCTATCCTAAGCCCTTCCTTGTTTCACTGTCTCCAGATTTAATAAGCGTACTCTCAAAATAAAATGAGAAATCATATACTTGGTTTCATGTTGTAGCTGGACAACCAATGGGTCTGGACTGCCTGTCACTGCTTGAGCCAGTTAAGCGGAGACAGGGTTAATCATATCTGAGCGTTTATTCCAGTGCTGCCGAGGGAACGGAGAGCAGCAGGTCATCCACAAAAATGTGCTCTCCAGCCCCCAGAAGCCAGCTGCCTGTATTGGGTAGGACGGAGATTACACGGAGGAGCAGGGATCCCGGGCATGGGGAGTAGGCAAGGTGGGCTGTGGGAGGCTGGGGCGGGACGCCATGGGTGGGCCTCATTCCAAGGTTGACCCCCAGGTCCTGGGAATGTACAGGTTCATAAAAACAAAACAATCACGGCTAACAGAGCATGACTAATATTTCTTATAACTAGTCCCCAATATTCTATTTCTGCTTCTAACAATGTAGCATTTTTCTGTTTTGTTTCCCTCAAATTTATTTTCAGAATTCATCCAAGTTCATTAATTTTAGCTGCTGTGCGGCAGTGTTCCATCACAAGAGTACACTCCAGCCCTAACTGGTTTGGCTCAGTGGATAGAGCATCGGCCTACAGGCTGAAAGGTCCAAGGTTCGATTCCAGTCAAGGGCATGTACCTTGGTTGCAGGCACATCCCCAGTAGGAGGTGTGCAGGAGGCAGCTGAGAGAAACATCGATGTCTCTCTCTCATTGATGTTTCTAACTCTCTATTCCTCTGCCTTCCTCTCTGTAAAAAAAAATCAATAAAATATTTTTAAAATACTTTAAAAAAAGAATACACTCCAGTCTGTTTACCTATTTGCTACTGATAGACATTTACATTGTTTTCATGTTTCATTATTATAAACACTACTTTGCAGGGAACATCCTCAAAGATGTCTCTTTGTTCTTAGGTATAAGAGTTTCTCTTAAGAAATAAGCAGTGTTTTCAAACTGTTTTTTAACCATAACTCATAGTAAACACACTTTATACCAAAACTCACTTCTTATAGTTTACATTCTGTTTCATTTTTGTAAAATGCTGTACATGACCCACTTGATTGATTTCAGGAGCCACCAGTGGATTGAAAAGCACACGGCTCTCAGGCCATAGACTCTGGAACAAAGGATGTGTGTGTGCTCACCTTGAACAAATAACAAGTTGCTCTCCAAAGCAGTTGTTACCAGTTTCACAGGATAAGAGAGTCCTAGTTTCTCTGCCCCCTCATGATGGGACAAAGGGGTGCTGATATAAATCTCACCGAGAGTAACCTCAGAGGGTGGTCGCATCATAAATTCCTAACTGGGAAAGTCATGAGCGTAGTTTTGCCCAGGCCTCTAACTTCTTTAGGGAAAGGTTTTTAAGTAGCTCTGCCCATTGTTCTGTGCATCTAGGCTAACCTTTTTAAAAATATAGATATTTTTACTGATTTCAGAAAGGAAAGGAAAGGGAGAGAGAGCTGTAGAAATATCAATGATGAGAATTATTGATTGGCTGCCCCCTGCACGCTCCCTACTGGGGATCAAGCCCACAATGTGGTCATGTGTCCTGACCTGTAATCTAACTGTGACCTCCTGGCTGAAACCGGTTTGGCTCAGTGGATAGAGCATTGGCCTGTGGACTGAAAGGTCCCAGGTTCCATTCCAGTCAAGGGCATGTACCTTGGTTGCGGGCACATCCCCAATAGAGGGTGTGCAAAAGGCAGCTGATCAATGTTTCTAACTCTCTATCCTTCTCCCTTCCTCTCTGTAAAAAAATCAATAAAATAAAAAAATAAAAAAATAACTGTGACCTCCTGGTTCATGGGTTGACACTCAGCAGCTGAGCCATACCAACTAGGCTTTAAGGTCCCTCTTTAATGCAAACAGGCATTTTTTAAAGTATTTGAGATCTTTGCTTCTGGAAATTATGGTCAGTTTGGCTCAAACTCAGGTTTGGATGTTTCTTATGTGGACTTCACCAAGACTTGAAGTGGTCAGATTTTTAATTTATTGCTAACCCAATAAATGTGAAATGAATCTCATTGTCTATTTTACTCTGTATTTCTCTGATTATGAGAGAAAGCTGATTTTTATATATATTACCGGTTATTTTAATTTCTTGTAATTCATACCTTTTGTTCATTTTTCTATTGGGCTGTTTATCTTCCTTATCATCAATTTGTAGGACTCCTTAATAGATGCCAAAAACACTCCTTTTATGATAAACCTGTTTGATGCAGATATCTACTCCCTGTCTTCCCATCTGTCACTTGTAATTTAACCTTGTTTAAGATGTTTTCTTGTAGTTTTGTTTATTTTAACTATATTTTTATTAATTTCAGGGAGGAAGGGAGGAGAGAGAGAAACATCAATGATGTTTCATTGATCGCTGTCTCCTGCATGCCCCCTACTGGGGATCGAGTCTGCAACCCCAGCACATGCCCTTGACTGGAAATCGAACCTGGGACCTTTCAGTCACACGCTGACACTATCCAAGCCAAACCATTTAGAGCTCATGTAGGAGTTTTTAATATTTGTTATACTAAATTTTATCAAAATTGTTCATTATGACTTCTGCTTTTTCATAATTTGCTTTAAGAAATTCTGCCTTAAGAGCATACGGAGCCCTGTCCGATTTGGCTCAGTGGATGGAGCGTTGGCTAGCGGACTAAGGGTTCCAGGTTTGATTCCAGTCAGGGGTATGTATTATACCTTGGTGGTTGGCTTGATCCCCAGTAGGCAGCTGATGGATTTTTATCATTGATGTTTCTAACTCTTCCTCTCCCCTCCTCTCTGTAAAATTCAATATATTTTTTAAAAGAGCATAAAGATATTCTATATTTTTTCAGATAATTTTGAAGTTCTTTTATAACTTTAGGTCTTTAATTCACAGGGAGTATGTTTCTGCCTATCCCTTTTCCACCTTCTGAATGTCAGGTGTCACTATTGGACTTTTCACCACGTTTCTTTCTGTAGTGGTTATCTTTGCAGTCTAGCCATTTACATCATCCCTGTGAGTCTTTTTCTTAAAAATATCAGAATGGGAATACAGATAAGGCCAAGGCTGAGAAAAGTAGCTCTTTGGAGGCCTGTAAGAAGAAACAGATGAGACCATAATCAATAAAATAAATAAATTATATATATATATAAAAGAAACAGATGGCGCCGAAACCGGTTTGGCTCAATGGATAGAGCATCGGCTTGGGGACTGAAAGGTCCTGGGTTCGATTCCGGTCAAGGGCATGTACCTTAGTTGCGGGCACATCCCCAGTAGGGGATGTGCAAGAGGCAGCTGATCGATGATTCTCTCATCGATGTTTCTAACTCTCTATCTCTCTCCCTTCCTCTCTGTACAAAATCAATAAAATATATTTTTTAAAAATTAAAAAAAAAAAAGAAGAAACAGATGGCAAAGATGAGGTAAAGGGAGTAATTGGAAGGAATCTCTGCAAAAGATGATACACAAGGGTTATTCACCCATCACACTCAGAACCTGGGGGCCCTAGTAGAATTGTCCTTGTGGGGAGAAAACGTGTTTCAGAGAGCTGGCCCTGAAAGGGAAGAGGTGCAGACTTCTGACAGCGTTTTTTAAAATCAGAGAGAGAGAGAGAGAGAAGAATCGGTTGCCTTCAGTATCTACCCCAAGTGGGGATCCAGCTGGGTATGTGCCCTGACTGAAGATGAACCCTTCAGTGCTCCTGACAATGCTAACCAACTGAGCCACACCGGCCAGGGCACACAGCTACTTTTTTTTTCTTTTTTTCTTTACACACCTACTTTTTCATTTTACCTCTCTGGCCTATCTGCAAGCCCTGTGAGCTTTTTCTGGATTGCACTAGAAGATGCACTGGAGTCATACAGAAGTTGGTGAATCTAAATGAGAACCCAGGTCTTCTGCTTCAGGTGAAAGGGTTCGGTGCCCTCCCCATCTTCTTCCTCACAGGCATGCATCTCCTGAACGCCGAGGACCTCGATAGACTTGTAATCAGGGCAGCAGTGGGCGGCAGCAGCTGGTCCCAAGCTAATCCGCCGAACCTGTCTCCAAGGCCCCCTTTTCTCTGGCTTCTCACTGAGCCAACGCTGCCCCACCTGGGCTCCCTCCTGGGGCTTCTTCTATCCTAAGCCCTTCTTTGTTTCCCTGTCCTCAGCTGTAATAAACGAACTCTTAAAAAAAAAAATTTTGAAAGGGTTCTGCTGCAGCCAGCTGAAGCCAGTTTGTGAGAGAAGACCTGCAAGAGGAGGTTATCACGTTTAGAGGAGCGGTATTCCAAATGACAACAGCCTTTGATATTTACTGTAATCATTGAAGTCATAATCAACATCAAAAGCCTTTATCAGCGCCGGTCTGCAATAGGCAATCAAGGAGGACACAACTGAGTTTAGAACGATTATTCATGCACAAGCCTGATAACTGACACCGTGAAAATTAATATAGATGAGCAAAGGACAT